TTCAAATCTAGTTGTTATTTATTAGAAGTCCAAGGCCCAGCTGCTCAGGAAAACATATGGAAATGTTTGCTGAATTAATTAAATTTTCATACAACTTAGTGATGAAAAAAATCCCTTCTCTGTGTCAGGGCTGATTTTCATCCTTTCCTCAACTGTTGGATCAGGTCACACACAAAACAAGATTTTTTCCTGTGTTTTTAAGTTTCTCTATCCAGTAACCTCAGCACAGCCAGCCACTCTCACGTGCTGGCTTCACACACCATCATCATCCTCCCCAGCACAAGAGCTTTAAAGCCACAGGGCTTTTCTGCCTTGCCAGGAATCAATATATTAACTGACAATTCTAGGGCGCAAATCACCATTTCCTACAGCAATCTGGCAACTTCCTCCTTCCATTTTGCAGAGTTTGAGGTGCAGCTGTAATCCCAGAGTCCCATAAAGTGCTGATACAGTATTGGTGCCACAGATGTGCCCCAGATAAAGCACTGGCCAAAGTGCCACCAAAACAGTTCAGGGCTCTGCTTCCAGAACAGCAAGGCAGCTCTTTTGTAGTTTACTGAAGATTTCCTCAGAAAAGCAAACTGGTTTTGTACCATTTCACCCAGTACACGCACATAAAAAAAATAAGCACACTGTACAAGGAGCAGCAGAGATATAATTTAAACATGCATCCAGCTAGAAACCATATATACAGAGAAACAGGCCTATACAAACAGAACAGGACCACTTTATTACATTACAATTCTAGTGGAGCTTTTGGAGGAAATCATGGCAGATAAAGAAAATCAGACTGAAGGAGGTGGATGTTGCTTCTGAAAGTGATCTGTTTTGAAATGCCACACAACACCCCCACCTTTCTCCAGCACACATCTATTACACTTCCAGCTACACACAGCTCTTCCCACAACTCCTGGACTCCCTGTACAGAGGTAGATTTCTGTAGATGTTCTGATATTGCACCACGTTAAGTATGATTCTTATCACAAGGAACAATTTGCAAAGGCTCATTTATATAATTCATGGGCATAATCTCATTGTGGGCATTTAGGTAGTGCAGTAAATAAATTCATTTGCACTTGAAAGAAAACATCCAAGTGCAATGGTTTGTTATTTAGGTGGAGGTCCAATGGAAAGCTGCAGTTTTTTAACAGCTTCACATTAAGAGAGCTGTTTCTTGTCAGCAGGGTGACACTTCGCTGTCTCTCTCCTTTTCAGCCTCCCTGGTCTAGCCAGTGCCAGGTCTTGCCCTGCCTCCCCTGATGCTTCATCCCATTCCACTGTGTCCAGGTTGAATGTGCATTTTAAACACTGACAGGTTTTTGCAGGATTTCTTACTCATACAAGCAGTTGTAATATCTAAGAAATTTGCAAGAAGATTGATTGAAACTGCATGAAATGGTTAAAAAAGCCCATCCACACTCAGGCTGCATAAGGAAAGCTAGAACTTTGCTAGCTTCAAACAGCCATTAATTGTGAAAAGATCTGATGCTATCAGGAAAATCTGAAGAATTCTGGCAGGAGTCCTAATTTCTTTTGTCTATCACATTCTTGAATAACTCTCTGACAACTGCGGAAGTTGCAGCCAAGCTGCACAGCAGTACCACTTCACAATGTCTGTTAAGTGAACTTCTATGGCCTATTTATAAAAATAACTGCATCAAAAATCACGATGCCAGCATATCGTAACTCTGATGAACTCACAAGCATTGCTCAGTATTTTTTCTCAGAGGCACCCCAGGAAGTTATTTTTTGCAGAAGTCTTTCAATATGGAGATAAATGAAAGAACAATCTGGGCATGTTCCACTCTCAGAGAGAAGCCAAAACAAGCAGCACCACTACTCCTGGCTGCAAGCTTGTCAGAAAACTTACATGGGAAGAAAGTTCTCTTTTTGTACCAACCAACCTATTGGAACTACTTTAAATGAACCATTTAGCATTAACTTCCCAGATTCAGTTTCTGTGAAGCATTCTGTGGCACGACGTCTGTAAGAAATAGTGGCTAGTTTAGAACTGAGTATTTTTTGTTGAATTATGGATATAAGGTTCGTAGAAATTCATTACATCTCTCCACATACTCACTTGTCCTCTAAAAGGGCCAAGGAAAGTAAATCCCAAGTTACTTTACACCAACTGCATCAATACTGAAATTCCTGTTGACTGTTTTCCTGCGATGACAGGACTGCAGACCTAGAAGTAAAATCATCTCACCCTCCTGGAGGAGCCCATTTTGTGCAGTGAACCCTTCACTTCAGGGAGAAACTTGATGAGGAATCACACTCCCTGTCCCTGGCAGAAAGGGCTTATGTACCTTGCAAGATCAGGCTTTAGAATGAAGAACTCCATTGTATGCAGGAAATGACAAACAGAAAAGTTAAATGACAGTGGCAGGAACCAGGGCTTTTGGAGACTTGTCTGGTTTTCAAAGCAATGGTTCTTCCCAAAACCATGGCAGCTGGGCAGAGCCTCACTGAGTGCACAGAGGGTGCAGTGCTGCCCTGCAGCCCAGCCCTGCAGTTACCATTTGATGTCCAAGCTGCTGGTGCTTTGATTCACTGCACTGTACGTGGTGTGCAAAGTGTCCTGGACCTTCCTGGAGTCCATGCCCTCCAGCCAGTCCTGGTACATCCTCTGCACGTGCAGGTTGGCTTCTGGCAGCCGGACAGGAATCGCAGTGTACACTTCTTCCATCTGGGCAAGCAGGGCTTTGTCTGGTTTGCCATCCTCAGTCTGGGCCTGGCCCTTTCCATTGAGGCACCCTTAGGAAAAGATAAATTAAAAAGATGGAAGGTGATGGAGATTTGATATGAAAATAAAGTCTCTGTTAACTCAGAATTATTTTTTCACACTTCTCTAAAGGAAGTTTTTTTTTAACTTCCTCCCACGCTGTTACAATTTGTATTTACCTAAAGTGACTCCAATATCAACTTCATCTTAATAGAAAGGAGGTTTCCATATCACAAATCTTTCTCTGCATTCTCCACGGTTTTATGATCCTAATTATGTTCCTTGTCTTTTCTTGCCCTTGACAACCACCATTTCAGAGCATCCTCTGAGGTTTGGCAGTGCAGTGCTGGCACTCATTTATAGGTCAGAAGAGAACAAATAACTAATGACTAAATTTAGAAAACTCAATCATTTTTTGAGCCAACTCTGCACCTGTAATTGGTGTTCTGGACCCTTAATAAACAGCGGGATTTTAGATTATTAAGAAGAGAATTAAGAGGGAATGAAATTAAGTGTCTGCCTTTAAGGCAGCTTTCCTTTGAGATTCAAGATACATGTGCAGAACAACTGCAGGTCCACAATTATTTTTACCTCCTGGGCAGGCAAGGACTTCTACAAAATGGTAGAAAAACTTCCCTTTTTTCAACTTCAGGACCATGTTTTGGATATTTCTGAAGCCATAAGCTGCTGCAAAACGCAGCACAGTCTCCCCATCCTTTTCAAGGGTAACTTCTTGAAAGTCCTTGTTCCTGTCAAGACACAGAGAGAACATTTTAATCCCCTGCATTCCCAGAGGAACAATCCAACTGTGCCAGTTTGTGTTCAGATGCTCCAAAGGGAGCAGAACAAGTGAGATCAAGGTGAACTCTTCCACTTCCTAAAGTGAGTTAAGCAGAAGTTGGGGTGGAATCTTTGCAACAAAATTCTACTTAATTTCTAAGTGCAGGTAAGGTTTTAATTAAATGATTACCAGCAGGAGCTGCTGTACAGTGAGAGACTTGCAGGTTCAGAGCAGGTTTATAGCCTGTAGCAGCCAAAGACCAGGTTAGCAGTAACTGCTTTCACTGCAGCACCAACCACAGCAGGGGAAGTTCCTGGCCTGCAGGAACGAGCTCCTTGCCAAGAGGGAGGCCAAGTGTCTAAGGGGCATTTGGAAATACCAACTGGAAATACTTTCTTCTGTTCTAGCTCATCCACTCTATGTAACAAGGATACAAAACTCTAACTTACTTTAGTGCTTTGTAGGTTATCTCCTTGACATCCACACCAAAAAGCTCCTTTGCAGCGTGTTTAAAAATGTGCTCCAGGTAACCATCAGATCTCTTCCCGTCATGCCTTACTACATCTCCCTCCTTTAAGCCATCAAACCTTAGGGAACAACAAAATGGAAGATCAACTCCAAAAATTTCTTTCTTTCACTTCAATAAAGTAGTGTGTCTCCTCTTCTGTCTCCCCCACCAAAAAGTGTTTTGTGGCACTGAGAACACATAACACTTTTATTCATTACAGCTTAAAAATGTGAATTATTCAGGACAGCAGTGAGATGATGAAAAAAATCAATTAAAAAAAAAGATGCAGGGCTTTCCATGTTGAGAAATATTAAGCAACAGTAATTTATAAGAATGCACCTTCATCACAATCTGATGATTTTGTTAACAACCTTTTACTGCTCAAAAGCCATTTTGGTGAAAAATTACTTAAATAAATGGTCATTTTTTGCTTGTGAGAATACAAAACTACTTCAGAAGTTACAAGTTCTGATAGTAACTGCTGACAGTTCTGCTTTAGGAACTGTTTGTCACAGTCTTTAACATTGTGCCAATAAAATCACACCAAATTAGTAGAGCTACAACCAGGTTAGAACAGTATACAATGAAAGTAAGTGCTACACTGTGGTTCAGGAGAGAAAAGGGGAGATCCTACCCCAAGAGCATCTACTGGAAGTTCAACTCTCCCCTAGTTAAAAGCAGCTCTGAAGGGCTCACATTCATACAACTGTTTTAATACCCAGCACTTTATCACAAATTGCTGCTGTGCTGGGGCTTGTTTTAAGAGGATGACTTCAAGTCGTTTAAATTTCTCTGCAAGATCTACTTTTAATACCCCAGAAGAGCAAATGTTTAAATCATTAGGTCTCATAGCTGAACCAGTATTATAAGATTAGCCCTTTAAAAAAGTAACATTATTTTCCAACATAAATTGAGGGCACTTGGCTCGTTCAGGCTGGAGGAGACTGAGGTCAGACATCACCAGGATCTGCAGCTGCTCCTGAGGGACAGCTCTGACCTCTGCTCTGTGACAGTGACAGAACCCATGGAATGGCTGGAGCTGTGCCAGGAGAGGTTTGGGCTGGATTTTGGGAAAGGTTCTTCCCCCTGAGGGTGCTGGCACTGCCCAGGCTCCCCAGGTGGGTTTGTTGGGGGGTCTGTGCAGGGAGAGGGACTGGACTGGGTGATCCTTGTGGGTCCTTCCAGCTCAGGGTGTTCTGTGATTCTATAAAGTGAGCCAATGAACCAGCACATTCTGAGTAACAGCTTGTCCTTTCATTGCACAGGCTGATAGAGAATTAAAATCCTGTCTCTACGTGACTCTGACACAGAATTACATGACTGTCTCTGTGATTATTCCTGCAAGAACTTTATTCATTCTCATTCTGTGTGACAATCTCAGGTAGAAGCAATCGAAGAGCTGCACTACAAACACAGCTCTGAACAGGTGCCCACTGACCCACTCAAATTTCTCCCCTCTAGGTCCAAGCAGGATTCTAGCTGGAACTGGAAGGGATTTTTCAAAACTTCCAGAGCTTTCTGTTTTGTGCAAGACAGCACGTTTATTGCTCCACTAGCAGCCCCTTGGAAAGAAACCAAGGAACATCTGTCACAGCTGAACAAAGATCAGGGAGAGCAGCCTCTGTAACTAAGTCTGAGAATTAAACACCACACACATGCTGCTCCCTGAGCAGAAGGGATGGAAACAAAAACTCTCCAATGCTTTGTGTGCTTCTCATCCAAAGCACAGTCCAGTTTGATCTAATCCTGAAAAACTGACTGCTGTCCTCAGTATAAAAAACAATTAATTACCATTTCCTGAAAGGGTGCTGCTTCTAGCAACCTCCATGAACATATTGGGGAGTGAGAATTTACTGCCAGGATGCTGCTGTGAGAGAGGGGAGCCCAGAGCAGATGGTCAGCCCCAGGACTGTGTGCCAGCAGCTTTTTGGGAGGCAGCTGCACACAGATCAGGCTGCTGGGCTCTCCACAAGGAGCACAGGAGAGCTCTGAGCAGGGCCAGCAGCCCCAGACAGCCACACTTCCTAGCAGGGCTTGAACTTCATACACTCACATCTATTATTAGTGTAAATAATCAATATTTATCAATACATTATAAATAATCCTTAAATATCAATCGGGAGCTACACAAATCTTCAAGTCATAAATGTTAGAAGAGTTACAGTATAAGGGTCATTACCTCAAGTTATCTGCTTTGTATTTAGACAGTACATGTAGATTTATATTATCTGTTTTATATATAGCAAGAACATCTAAGAGAATATTTTTGTGGGTTTGGCCACTATATAAGGGTGAAGCTGTGGTATACTCAGGCTTTGATGCAGGTTTTGTTCTCTAAAAAGAAAAAACATTCTTCTGAGCCGTTTTACATTTATGTCATGTGGAAAATGGATTTATAGAAAATTCTCAAAGGTTGACAGAAAACTCACATAGTGTACATCTGTATGCAAACGTTAAAATAAGAAATACTGACTTAAAAATACCATAGAATAAACCAGACATTGTTAAGAGAGAAACTGAACTAAAAACAAGTTTCAAAAGATGACCTTACAAATAAGACTAGATCCTTTAGAGAAATAAAACTATAAAAAATGCATTGTAGTAAGACCCATGAGGACTAATTTTAGATTATTGACTTTAAGACATTTACAACATAGTGTAGCTAAAACTGATAAACCAAGAAACACTTACAATGTGTATTGTAATTAAGAAATAGCTGGCTTCTGATTTTGATAGCATGAATTCTAACACTTGCATTGTCTCACCCTTCAAATGAGACTGAAAACAGAATAAAAGTTTTTAAAACATCTTACCCCATCTCTAAGTCAAAAAAGAGCTTTATCCAACAATGTTAAATATGCTGCAACATGTCATGTGTCATCAAAATAAAGAAGCAAACCACAACAGAACTACTTACAAACTATCTACAGCTACTTCAGTCACATCTTTCATCGACACATTTTTCTGTTCCATTATTTGGACAATTTCACCTGTAGGAAAACACATGACATTTTACTTTCAACACAAAGCACAGCACACACAGTGCCTCTGTTTCAGAGATCAGCATCCCAACACCTGCACGTGCTTTGTGTCACATTCTCCAGCTCCTCCTGCAGTGACTGAGGAGCCTGACAATTCCTGCCCCAAGGAAAAGGACAATTCCTGCCCCAAAGAAAAGGGGCCTTCAGCTCGCCCAGACTCTGCTTAGATCCTCAGCCTTTCTGTTAGGCCAAGTTTGGAATACCCAAACTACACTGCAGGATGTCTGGACACTAAGGCTAAAGACAAGATCCTCACCAAAAGGCAACTGGTGCCATGAATTAGGAAAAAATCTTAATAAAATAATGACCATAGACAAGCCAGAAAATTGTTTTAAATATGGATTTGCATAACTTTTACCTTCTTTAACAGGCTGTCAAAATACCTGATTTTTTAGATGAATAGAAACTTAGAAGGAAAGGGACACGTCACTCTGCCTTCCCTGTGCACTACCAGGAGCACAAAAATAAGTACTAATTTTAATTAAAAATTTAAACTTTTTTTTTTTTTTTTGACAGAAAACGTACTTTCTGCCATAGCACTTTTGGCAGAAAAAAGTCAACCTTATGACTAAAGCAGACTTGAAAAAATCAAACTCTGGCATAAAGGCTATTCTAAAAATGGTGATTCACTTATATATTCATAGATGATAAGTTTAAAAAAGTTCACCTGATGTCAGGACACAATCAACTTCTGCTGAATTATACAAGGCAGTGTAGAAATCTTCCCTCAAGGCTTCCAGCTTTTTGTCATAACAAGGTGCCACGACTACATGGAAAATTTTATCAGGAGACAAGTTCTGTGGAATACAGAAGGGAGCACATGTGAACTCCATGAAGAGCAGAAAGACAGCTTAAAGGATGACAGGGACAAAAATAATGACATAAACCTCAGGAGTAAGTCCCTACCCATTAAATTTAAAGAATTTTCACACTGATAATGATTTGCCAGAAGTCAGAAAGCATCAGCAAACTTCCAAAGTCAGTCTCTGGCTGGACCAAATTCCCTCAGACCATGTTTTCTTCAGCTTTTTGATTGCCTTAGAAAGTGAATACAAGCCAGGAGTTCAGAGTTCTGGTTTCTGGCTGTCACTCACTCACTTTCACCCAGAGCAAGCCCTTGAGAATTTGTCTGTCCACGTGCAGACAGCAATCCTTCCCTACAGAATGTTTTAGGTATGATAGGTAAAGAAGAGCAATTTTTTCAACATATAACATTGAGAATAAAAAGGCTAGCTCCAAGGATACAGTGTTTTTATTGAGCTCATATAACAGGGCAATTTCCACATTTTTCTCCTCCACTCCTGTTTTGGCTGTGCTGTAGAACTATACAGGCAGCATTTAACAAAAAAACAAACAAACCAACAAACCTTTACTGCTATGGATTTAACTTGATTCAAAAATATTTAAATCCATGTTGCACTGGGGATGCAAGGACTGCAGCCAGCTCACACTGCACTGTATGAAATGAGGTGCTTTGTACATTCTTCTCCTCATGGGCACTTCATGGCACAGAGCACCATTTCTTCTTCAATCAAGGACAAATGTAATATACTAAGATCTGCATCTCAGTATTAAATCCCATTTAATAGAAAATAATGGTAAAAATAAATCAGAATTACTTACCTGCTGCCTGGCAAAGTAGCCCTTCACTAGGGAGCCCATGATCTGCTGTGGAGACTTTGCAGTGCAAATGTGGGAGGTCACCAGGTTGGTGAGAACCCTTTCAGCATATCGGATCCAGCCTGGAAGCACAAGAAATGACAGGTACAGACAAGTGACCCATAGGCACAGCAAGTGGCAGCAGTCACTCAACACGTCCTGAAAATGATGACACCTTCACAACAGGGAGAACATTTCTGTGTAGGCTGGAAGCCCCACCTTGGGAACCATAGGAAACCTCAGGGCTCTGTTAATAATGCTTTAGTCAATAATTCACTGTGCCATGAATTCTAGACCAAGGTCCACTGTGAATTTCCTGACCTGTTACCCCTTCTTCATGCACAGATTTAACAAAGCAGAAAGAACAAGAGCCCAGCTGACAGAAATTTGACCTTCTAGACCTCAGCCCTTGGATAACCACATACTGCAACAAATGCACTGTTTGGCTGCTTAACTGTAACCTGTTTTTTCCTGAGATTTAATATCCCTGCACCCAGCCTGCCTCCCCTAGAACAGAAGAGTCAATGAAAGCATTATTACAAGATGCACATGGATTAAGCTTAGAAAAAATGGCTTATTTTACTATTGTTAGAGTAGCCACACCTTCAGTCAGCCATTTGTTGGCTTGTGTTGTCATCAAAGAGCAAGAAAGCATTAAAATTACCATAAAAATTCCTGCAGTTCTAGCTCAGAACATGTTCTTTTTGGTGGTTTCTTGTGTGATCATGAAGATGCATGTATGCATCTGTAGGAAGTGCAAAAAATCTAAGCAAGCTTTTGCAACTATAAAACCCCATTCCTGGAAAAGGAAATTGATGGACTGGGACAAAAGCATTAGAATCCTAAATACTTATGATCTTCCTGCTGCTGCTGCAAGTTTGCCCCATCTGGGAGGACACAGAGATTGGCAGTGCCTTAAAAACATCAGATTTTCCAGAGCAAGTGCTTCATGTTGCTCACCAGCTTAGTACATTAAGGAAGGAAATTGATTATTTTGAGATATTACATATACTATCAGTAGTAACACTACTGTTCTTTCAACAGGAAAAACCAAAAATGAGCTCAGTTTCTCCCCAGAGAGCAGCAGGAGGTGAAAAATTAAAACAGGGACAAGAGAAGAGCTTTTCTCAGGTTCTGGACTGTGCAGGCTTGGCTCTTTGCTCATGGTGGATGTCACACCCCAGCCTGCTGCAGAGGGTGATAGGACTGTGCAAAGTCACACACCAACATAAAAAAAGAGTAAATATATATGTAAATATATAAAGAGTAAATACTTGAGTTTGCATTGACCGTGCATCTACAGAGCTATATAAAAACCATTTAGTGCCAAACACCCAATAAACAACATCTCTGGGACACATTTCTGTAATCTGGGGGTAGAAAGAGGAAGGAGAAAAATGAACAGAAAATGCACACAGAAAAATAAGGACAGGAAACACAGTGAACAACCTCACTTGTAAGATGACTAATCAGGATTTTTGCTTTCTCTAATTGCTGACAAAGAAACATACCATGTTTTCAAAATGGATTTACAGTGATATTCTGGGTTAGTTTCCCAGAAATGGAAAGCACACATGCTTCTGTTACCATCTCTATCACAATAGAGAGCTGACACCAAAAGCAGCACTGAAAGTAAAAATCTTGTGCAGACCACACAAGGACAAGGAAAGTGCTCCATTAACTATTTTAAAGTATTTCCACTGAGAGCAGCACAAATCTGAGCTCTGTTTCCAGATGAAGCAAATTAAAATTACCTCAGGAATTCTAAAAGAAATCCTCAGGTTTTGAATTTTACCTAAAGCACATACAAGACAACAGAACTAAGCAATGGGGGTGTTTTGCTGCACAGGTTTCACATGAAAAAAAGCAATATATGATATGTCTGCTCCTGAAGATAAGAGGTTACACTAAGATAACAGTAACAGAAAAAGAGACATGTTTTTAATACATATATTTAGTAGTTAAAGCATAACCCAGATATTTCCACTACAACACACACAGAACAAACAAAAATAAAAGTATAATTCAAACAGCAGTATTTAAAATTCAAATCAATGACAACAGCAGATTCTGGGGATCACTGACTGCAACTCATCATCACTCTAACATTTCTTTAGTAAATGCAAGCCACTTGAGTTATTTCCAAGCTATCTGGTATTTTTATCAGCCTTTTGAAAAGCAATACTATGAACGTTAGGGTGGAGTTGATGAGGGTGTTAGGCAAAGGAATTACTTCTACCTCCTTTTTGATACTTTTTTATGGATTTTGACTTTTTACTTGAATTGAAATGGTGCTGTGCTAACAATGGAAAATTGAGCAGTGGCTGCACGTTCTGCATCTTTTCAGCTGGTACAAGTGCAGGTTCTGCTCATAACAGAACGTGTTCTCAGGAGTGAGACATTCAGTGAGTCAAGTCTGTGACATTTCATGTGAGAATTACTTTCCAAGTGTCAGACATAATCCATCTCACAGTCACCACAAGGAATGTCACTTGCTACTTTCCCCTAGGCTTAAATAGCAAGTTCTAAACTTTGCTTAAGGTAACAGAGGTTGTGGTTTAATTCTAAGTTCCTTTAAGATTCTTTTCAATGAGGAAACTCCCTGTTAAACTTTGAGGTCTGAACACACAAGAAGCACCCACTAAACTCCTCCAATTCCAGTCTGATTCTCAATTCCAAGCACTGACATGCACTCAGGATAACCAATGATACTGGGAACAAATCCTGTGTGCTTGGTGTCCCTCAAAAGCAAATTAAAAATGTTCTATGTAAGGCCCCCAGAGAAAGCCACCCTTTCCTCAGCTCCTTGGTGGTTCCAGTGAGACTGGTTTGAAGGGCAGGAAGGATGGATAAATCAGTTCTCACCAGGGCAAGCAGAGGCAAACATTGGTAAGGCATGTTCCTCCTGGTTCCTCCGCTGGTACCGCTGCACAAATTCCCTCTGGCTCTCCAGGATACTGAAATCTGCAGCTATAGTGGTGTCAAATACATAATGCACCCCTAGGGAAGCAAGCAGAAACATCACTACAGTGTTTTCAACCTCACAAACCCCTTTTCAAAGTTCCAGGCCTATGAAAAATCTTGAAGGATCAACAGGTATTTTCCTTCCCCTCTGCAAATTTTCACAAACAGCAAGAAATAAAAGCCATACACTGGAAAATCATCTTCTACATCCAGAGTTTAAAGAGGCTAATGCTGCAAGGAGCACTGCAAACACTCTCTGCTTTGTTTCTGAGCATCCATCACTTTTAGCTCAGTTGAATAGGATGTCACAACTCCTGGCTGACATGCAGTGACTCCTGCAAAGCAATGCTCTTTTCAAGACATGCTGAAGTCACAAAAAATCATATCCAGCTAGGAGGCATATCTGCCATTGCTCAGGTTGTTTGCAGAGGTACAGGAGCATATCACCAACACAGCAGAGACCTTCTGGCTGCTCGTTTGGCAACACACTCCCTATAAGCCTACGTAACACTGAGCAGATCCCCACAGAAGTGAGGGTAGATAATGAATGCATTCTAGGAAATCTGGGGCCCACCAGAACTCAGGAATGCTCTGAGATGAATATACACTGGGTACAGAGATGCATCAGAAAAAAACATGAAAAATTATATATATAGATGGGAGGAAACTGTTTATAGGTTTATTACTGTTATTTTTCTTTTTTCAAGTAAATTTTAAAAATCCCAAACTTATAAGGAAAGTGGCTATTGCTTTTTAAATAAAAACTTTGTATATTATGAGCAAAGGAAATACAGCTTTAACATAAAACAGGCCGATACAACAGTTCTTTTAATTTCAAATTACAGAAAAAAAACCAGAACTAAATCTTCTAGAGATACAATGTGTCAAAAGGACTGAAGGAATAAGAATAACCTTCTCCCTCAAGTTATAAAATAATGGGAAGCTTGTGACTAAGAAATCTCCCATTCCAAGAAATCTCCCCGATTTCTTGGTAGCCAAGGTTTTGGAGGCAGCTCTACAATGTCCTTCTGTTCTGTGACCTTTCCCGTGAGCAGGAATGTCCCCAGCCTGTTTCTCACACTGCTCTACGTGGCACTGGTGCCTGGCTGCAACTTCACAGAGCGTGGAGTTCAAACCCTGAACGAGCTGTGCAAGGGCACTTTAGGACTGCTTAACAAAATACCATGGAATGGAATCACATCAGGAACCTTAAAGCTCATCCAGTGCCACCCCCTGCCATGGGCAGAGCCACCTTCCACTGTCCCAGGCTGCTCCAAGCCCTGTCCAACCTGGCCTTGGGCACTGCCAGGGATCCACAGCTGCTCTGGGAACCTGTGCCAGGGCCTCCCCTCCCTCATTTCTTCCTATTATCTAATCTAACCCTGCCCTGTTTCACTCCATGCCCTCAAAAACCCTCCCCAGCTCTCCTGCAGCCTCTTCAGGTACTGGAAGGCTGCTGAGAAAGCAAGATCAACCTCCCTTTCTGCTCCACCACCATAATAAATGCAAACTTACCAAGACTTTTGAGGAAACCACAGAGTCTCTTGGCTGCTTCATTCACAGAGAAATTGAATTTAGCAGCAAAATAAGGCAATGACTGAGGGCATAGAGACACTGCCAGTATTTTGTGTTTTGAGGTATCACATTTCTGGTAAGTGAAACAAAGGAAAAAAAAATGTCATTACAACAGGGTAAGGCTCCCTGCTTTCTCTTCCTTTCCCATTCCTGGAGTTATTCCTTGGAGTCTCATGCTTCAGTGGGCCACATCATTAAAAACCCTGTGAAACAACCCTCAAGCTGCAGCAGAACAGGATGTTCTCTGATCCTCACAGTGTTCATCTCCAGTCATCTGTAGATGTTTCTTTTACAGAACTCAGGGGAAATCCACCCCTCCTAGGACAATTCTGTGGTTAGTTTCTGTGTGGCGTTAAGTGAAGTTAAAGGACATTCTGATGTTCTAGTAGGATGAAATATTCTAGCAAATATGAAAAGAGCTGTATGTTTAAACATTTATGAAGAATGTTTACAGAAGCAGGGACATTTTAAGCTATAAATACAACCCTCTTAACAGGACCCATGTGATTATTTCCCCCCCCTCCCTTCTCTTCTAATTTTCTCAGGTATGACAACATCATTCTGTATGGACAGTTCAACTCCTTCTAAAAAAATATAAGTATTATGTAATTAATCTATATTTATGACACACATGTACAGATTAGGAAGTTGTTTCGGTTCTAGTAGCTCTTGCACAGAAGTCTGGAGCAGAACTAAAATAATTAATTTAGTATCAGGTTCTAAAGATCTGAGCACTATACAAAGCAACTAACTTCTAGAAAAAACAGAACTCAGCAGAAAATAAAACAGCAATAGAACACTTACAAGGTTTGCTAAGAATATGGACAAAATGTAGCCAGGTTGAATGTATATTTAAAAGAATGCTAATTTCACAAACATGTCTTTATAGGTTTGTATAATGTGGGTATATTAGCACCAAAACCACCCAGAACAGTCCTAGCAGTGAAGGTATATATGTATAAACACTAAACTACAGAATAATTTGTTAGTGCAGTAATGAAATCATCACGTTGCCAATAAATTCTCCTTCTGCAGGTGCAGTAACTTTCCTCTGGTGTTTATGTTAAGTGCTGTGACCTTGCAACTTCAGTACAAAAAAAATTTAAGTACTTTTAACATTTGTGTTGCCTGACTTCCTCTTTGCAATAAGCATATCCTGACAAACCCTCACATTATCTGCCTTGGGAAACCAAGCTGCTTAGGCATTCTGTAACTGCCTCCTCCTCACAGAAAACAGTGGGGTATTGTTTGGGTCACTTTACCTTATTAAGGTTGAGAATACGAAAGAACTCCTTCTGATTCTGCTGGAAAACTCTGGTTCCTTCTTCCAATGTCATGCAACTGTCACAAGCTAGGCAGTCGCTAAGGAGTATTTTAGCATTAGCCAATGTATCAAACTCATTTTTCTGGTGGCAAAAAAAGAAGTAAACAAGAGTTGAATACTGATCAAATTATTTTCAAGATCTCTGCAATGAGCCAGATGAAAAGCTAACACAGCATTCCCATTTGTTTAAAGCAGGACAATCCATGACACTTGCATAACGTCCAAGATTATTTGCAGGTAAACAAAATAATATGTTCCATCCCAATCATAGCTCTGCTCCTCCTATTACTGTGAAACTGCAAAACGTTGAAGTGTAAACAAAAATCTAAATTTAGCCCCTAGTCCATATGCTAGTGACTTAATTTGCACTGTGCTTCAGAGCTGACAGTCCCCATCAACTCACTGAGCAACTGAGAAAACTTTCCCTTGAACTATTAAAGCTCTTTAACCAGATGTCCCTCTAACAGCAAGGTGGCTTAGGCTTTGTAGCACGAGGTAAAACAAAGAGAACACAGTTCTACAATTGTTCTGAACATATTCTCTGAGATCAAGAGCTTCACACTATCTGCAGCTCACTTGAGAAGAATGAATACTTGGATATAAGGAATAAGTAGATGTTTTGTCCACTTGTACTATCAAAACTCATCTTCTTACAAGCTCTCTGTTCTGAAGACTTGATATAAGTGTTTTGGCACTCCAAATTTTTAGAATTTCTGTTTTGTGTTGGCATACTAAGGGCTTTTATTGCACCTTTTTACAAGATTTTGGACTCACATATTAAGGGATGTATACAAGAGCTCATAATTGTTTTCAACTGCTTGTTGTTTATTATTATACTTAATAGTTGAAAGTTGTCGCCTTTCAACCTATTTTGGGGTCAACAAAACAAAATAATATAGAGTCTAATACAGATTTTAAAGGGAACATTACCTCTTCAGAGCCATTATTTGAACTCAATGCATCAACAGATGTACTTTGCGTATCGTCATTTTTCTGTTTTTTACTGCATTCCTGAAACAATACATAAAACGCGTGGATTATGCAAAGCCTGTTCACCATTCTGTAAAAACACTTCTGCAGAACTGTTCCCATCATTAACCACTGAGAGAGTTATTTACACACGCAAGACCCTACGTTCAAAGTGCAATTCCTACGATGGAAATAATTTCCCGGAATTCCCCTGCTTCATCGGTTTGAGAGTTCTGGGCGGTTTGGGGCTGCCGAGGGCACGGCCACACGCCGGCGACACCGCGCTCGGGGCTCCCGGGAGCTGTCCCGGCCGGGCCGCGGTGACAGCGGACGCGCAGCTCGGTGACCTTGGGGCCGGCGGGGCTCCGAGCCCGTCCTCGCCGGCGGCATCCCCGCACCCCCGGGCAGGACCCGGCCGCCGCACTCACCTTTTTGCTGCAGTTCTCGCACTTCATTTGCTGTGCTGGCCGCCGGGGCTGCGGGACAGGAGAGAGCGGGGCGGGAGGTGAGAGCCGCAGCAGCAGCAGCGCCGGCCCGCCGCTTTCCTCCCGTGCCCGCCGCCCTTTGTTGCCGCGCCCGCCCCGCCGGGCGGTCCCGGGGCGGGGGCGGCCCCGAGCGCTCACGTGTCCCGCAATTCCCTCGCCCGGAATCGCCCCGCAAACGCGGCCGGCGCTGCGGGCGGCCCCGAGCGGCCCCGGAGGAGACGCGGGGCGGGCGGCGCCGGCCGAGCCCCGCGGGGAAGGTGCCCCCGCAGCCCCGCACGGGGAGCGCAGCCCGCACCGCCGCACCCCCGGCTCTCAGAGCTCCCCGCACCGAGGTGACGGGAGAACGGGCGGGCACGAGCCGCAGCTCACCGGCTCCACAGGGAAAAAAAAAAAAAAATAACGACAAGCGAAAGGCCCAAGGCAGCCTGTCAGGGGGTAGCGGGGCGCAGCGCCGGTCCCGTACCTGCCGCCGGGGCTGTGCCTGTGGCCGCAGAGCGGGCGGGGCGGCACCGCCTCCTCCGCCGCCTCCCCCGGCCGCGCCCGCCGGGCTCATTGCGGACCTGCGCCGCCGCACGTACGCGGAGGGACGCCCCCATCCCCATCCCCATCCTCATCCCCATTCCCATCCCCATCCCCATCCCCATCCCAATCCCAATCTCCATCCCGACCCGGACCCCCGGGCCGCAGCGATCCGCCACGCTTGCCTTCCGCGCCCGGCTCCGCCGCTTCTCTGGAGCGTCCCTGCCTATTTTTTACAACGCGCTCCTCTGTTATATCGTACAAAGGGTTTTCCCCCCCCGGCAATTTTTTTTTTTTCCCAATGGCTTTAAAGTGAAATGACACTCTGCCAGTTACTAAATACAGCATCATCACCATTTTATTTAACCAATATGCTGCGATTTCCCATTCCTGTAACAAAACACAAGTACCAGCAATGCTGTTCCCAGCCAGGAATCACAAATCCTCATAACAGGATTATTAAACAGACATCAACCTTCCACAGACCCAAAGGCCCCGGAGTATTAATCAAGATGTTTATGATTTCTTGTTTTTCTGAACCTCAGGTTGTAGGATTTAGACAGAAAGGTTCAATCAACGTTCTGCTCCTTTTTTAACCCCCGGCCACAGGAACCCACACGTACAAGCAAACGCCTACGGCTACACAGAGAAGCTTTTCAAATGTAAAATGACATTTTATAAATTAAACCACAGAACTTCCAAAGAACATGCAATTTCCTGCCTAAACTGCAACTTTTCTACAACACTGGGTAAATCCCCTCCTGTTATAGTGACCTCTAAGCCACAGATGGGTTTTGAGCACAAAGGCTGGAAGCAGGCACAGCCGGAGAGGTTTGTTAACCAAAAAACACAACTTTAAACACTTGTTCTGTTTTAAGGACACTAAAGATAACCCCAGGGAAGAAGATAGTGTTTTTTTGTTTTAAATTTCAGACTATAGGTGAGTTATCACTGAGGTCAGAGAAATCAAGAATACCTCAGCTTAACCATGATGAAAGCAAACAGAAATGCTTTCATACTTACCACTTAAAGGAAAGTAAGCTAATGCTGCTTTATGTATACCCTGGAAAAAATATCACTAATCCTGGCTTGAGGTAAAAATTGTAATAGCTTTGGTAGTAATTTTCTGTGCCTCTGCTCTCTTCATTCAAAATGCTCTCACATTTCATATTAGCCCAAGCTTTTTACAAGCACCACAACCACTCCTGTGCAATTCCTATGTGACCTAAGAATTTGCATTTCCTACAGACTTGCTGGAATATAGCATTATCTGACATCTTTCTTGTTCCTGGGATTAGTATTTTCATGCAAAAAAAGCTGTGCCAACCTCCCACCTTATTCCACCAGGATACAACACCTATAGTTGCATTGACCAATAAGGTGATAGGATAGATGAAAAGTTCTAAATTAGAAATGTATTGAGATTTGCATTTAAAGGCACAGCTAAAATCTTCCTGTTTCATACTCTGATTACACCAACATTTATTATCCAAAACTGATATAGTGATTCTTCAAAAGACATGTCAGTTTTAAATATTTCTGTAACTGCACAGATCATATTTAAAATATTTTTTATTTCACGGAATCAAAGAGTAGTTTGGGTTGGAATGGAACTTTGAAGGTCATCTGGTCCAAACCCCCCTTCCACTAGACCAGGTTGCTCCAAGCCCTGTCCAGCCTGGCCTTGAAAGCTCACCAGAGATTCCCATCCCTGGAAACAGAGTTAGTCATCTGTTACAGGACTGGATTAAACACATTATTCTGCACATCATCAAAGGGCAGAAGACTGAATTTCCCCCCATATTTTTTTTTGTATTCACAATGAAAAACAGAACTGCACCGAAATGGAAGCATTTTGCAGAAATATTGAGGACATCTTAGGTACATACATTAAGTAGCCCTATGTCATCCTTCATCTTAAGAATACTTGGATAGAATTTATTTCAATTTAAAAATTCAAACAAAAAGAGCTAAAAGTTATACAAACTGAAAAGTGTGCAAGGAAATCTGTTTCAGTGCACAGTATAAGGTTATATTTGTGAAATCATTAGATAATTAGATGTCTACTTTATTTTATTGCCAAGATAAATATGCCAGTGGATCTTGGACACCCTGAGACAAGAAAGCACCATCCTGCTTTAATCTGGGGATGGTAACACTTGCCACCTTTGCAGGGCTGCTTCCCAAAAGCCTCACTCTCTAAAAGCTTTCCTATGCCAGCAGTAGGTAGCACTTAAAGGCATCACTTCTTTTACGGCCACTGTTGATGTATTTGGCCTCTGTGGCTCCATGTAACATTTATCCCTGCAGATACATGCTGAATGAAATGGAGAAATAATAATTTCCCTGTAAAAACAGTGTGCTGCAAACAACTGCAAAGTGTTACAGGCTTTGCATCAGTCCTGCAGGGCAGTGCCAGCTGTAAATGGCACAGTGACAGCACATGCCACTCCCCAGCTGTCAGAATTGGGCAATAACTTTTGGCTGCAGCTGGTGAACATGTATTCCATGAAATCTGTGCTCTGCAAGCTGCACACACACTGTTCCCACCGAGGTCAGGGGCAGCATGGAGAGCTGCTTCTGTGGGATGAGCTCATTTCTAACAGGACTCGCAGCCAATTCTGTCCAGCCAAAGCATTTGGTGGCTGCTTCCAAGCAAGCACTCTGGGAATTTATCCTGGCAGTTAGCAACATCACATGCTTATTGCATAGCTGAATTCCTAAGTTTAAGACCTTAGGGCAGAAAAAAAATATAAGGAGTTAGAAAATAATACTTAGGGAAATGGTCTGAAATAGGAAAAAGCACCAGAATTACAGACATGTCAAACTAATTCAAAATAAAGTCCACCTCTGTTCTATCTGCATGTTTTCGGGTTTAGGTCAATAACTTAAAAGTTACAAGTGTGTTTACTACACAAATAGAACATAAACACTTCCACAGAATCTATTTTTACATTGGTGAGGAAGAAGTCTACAAATAGTCAATCACATATTCCTGAATTGTTTATTTTGGAAAATAGTTTTTGCTTCTGCAGCAGTGGTTTGGAATTCATGCTGTTCTTTAAGTCCAGGCTTTCAAAATGCTCCTTCTTCCTTTTTCTATTGGTAGGCAGAACAGCACTCACCTACTTCAAAGAGCTGGTGTAAAATCCCCAGATTATAGAAAAAATGCTGTGAGAATCATTAATGGATAGCAGAATCTTACCAGGATCCTTGCCATATTTGTTTTGATTGTGTATATATGTGATATTTCCCATGGTTGAAAAAACATCTCTGTAACTTCATAATTAAATTAAGTCACATGAGGTTATTCTAGTGTGACCTTTGAAGAACTGCAGAAGTGGAGTTGCTGATATTTTTGCAGTTAGTAATATAATAATAAAACATATGCTGTGTGGTTTATGCTGAGTGGAGAGGACAGTTGAATTTATTGCTTATTCAAGAAATAACACAAGAAACCTTTTGTCTTGTGTCAATCAAAACAGCTTAACATTTGGTTCCCAGAGAAACCAGTTGCTTATCAAAACCGATTGACAGCTAATTAGACATAAATTTCTTCCCAGAAGACTCAGTCAGCTGCTTGTTTGGGTTGAGCACACGTGATACTTATTACTTCCTATTTTTCATCCAAATCCAGCAGCTGGTACCTTGTGACTCACAAGCAGGCCAATTCATTCTTGCAGTTCCTCACTGCCTTTTCCCATTAACACACTTAAAAAGAAACTGCACATCAGCTGGTATTTTCCAGTACTTACACTTAAATGTCTTTACCATGGACTCTGGGGTGTTTTTTCCCTATCATCACTCTGGAATGTTATGAAAAACACTGATTAAAATCTCAGTTTGCCAGACAAGTGTTGAGAACAGCTAAACAAACTTCTATTATGTCATGGCCTGAGCAAACACTCCAGAATATTTTAATGTTTGGGAAAAAAAGCCAAAAATTGAGGATTTCACCCAGGAAGGACATTCCTGTGCAACTGAGAGAGGACCAAATATTATTTGTAGATGAAGTTACACACTGACTTAGAATAATTTAAGAAGTTAAGCTAAACTACAGATGTCTGCACTTCACCCATCCTGCCTGACATAAGCAGTTGCTCTAATGGATTGAACAGGAACAGCTTTCCCATGTGAATGATGTTTGACTGAAACATGAAAGATTTTCCAAATGCAGCCTATTTGTCCACAACAGGAAAATTACTCTGTATTTCAAGTGAATTAGAAACTTTTCCTCCCCAAATAATAGATTTTCAAACCCAAGCCTTTAGCTGATGTACAATTCAGAAAACTCACATTGGACCTGTAAGATTATTGCTGATATTTCTGCTTTCCAAATATAAGCGATGTTTAGGTTTTAGAAAAAACAAGTTATTTGTTGGTGAAATTGCCTTGTTAAAGTCTAGAGCTTGATTATGTTTTAATGATCTCAGACCTAGCAGAGGTTAACAAAGTCTGAGAAAAAAGGATGCCTGCTGGCAGTGGACACAAAGAATTCAGAATTTAGGGGCCATCTGGCAAGAACTCCCAATATAAGGAAGAAACAAATGAAGCCAACTCAGCAACTGTGCTGAAATCAGCTCCAAGTGGGTAAAAGGTAATTCTGGCAGGTGGAATCTGCAACCACTGACAAAAGAAACTCACCTACAAGAAGGAAAGACTGCGCATGCAGAGTTATTAGCATGACAAGTGAATCATTATCCAATAGAAGACAGAATACTAATTATTAAGAGAACTATGTAAGTTGTAGCCAGTGAACGTTAATGTCTTTGTTTGCTAAAATGTGTAAGTAGTTAAAAGCTTTGGTGTGCTTGATTTGTGGAAACCACCTTGCATCCTGAGCAGAATAAACATCTCCATCCTATACTAAACTCTGTGTCTGTATTTAGAGAGCACCTAAAATCGGTAACACCTCCCCGCAGACGTTCCAAACCCACCTGAACGCGTTTCTGTGTCAGCTGCTCGAGGTGTGTCAGCAGGGTTTGGCCTAAGCGATCTCCAGAGGCTCCTTCCAACCCCGACCGCTCTGCCACAAGCCGAGGCTCAGCACCGGCGCTTTTGTGGCAGTGCTGCCATCGAGAACCCAGATGTTTCCTGGCCTCCCCGAGCTGGGGACAGCCCCCAGGGCAGCCCTGTTCCAGCGAGGGGCTCCCCTGCCCTCTCCGACCCCCTCATGCAAGGGGCCACGTCCACCTCACCCATCGCGGGTCGGTCCAACTGGATCCACTGCGGCTCACCCACACACCCTACAACAGTTCACTCCTCTGGCCACGCGAGCTTTCTGCTCTTCCCAAGCACCGCTAAAGTAAAACAACCAAAGAAACATCGAACGCTCGTACTTCAGCAGCACCCGCGGGCGGAGGCACCATGCTGAGTACTGGCAGCGCGCCGCCATCTTGGTGCGGCGCTGCCCTCACGGGTGGGGAAGGCAGGTTCATGGCGCAGCCCCTGCGCCATGCTGAGTACTGGCAGAGTATCTTAGCGCGGCGCTGCCCTCACGGGCGGGGAAGGGAGGTTCATGGCGCATTCTCTGCGCCATGCTGAGTACTGGCAGAGTATTTTGGCGCGGCGCTGCCCTCACGGGAGGGGAAGGGAGGTTCATGGCGCAGCCTCAGCGCCATGCTGAGTACTGGCAGAGTATCCTGACGCTGCGCTGCCCTCACGGGAGGGGAAGGGAGGTTTAGGGCCCATCCTCTGCGCCATGCTGAGTACTGGCAGAGTATCTTGGCGCGGCGCTGCCCTCACAGGAGGAGAAGGGAGGTTTAGGGCCCATCCTCTGCCCTCACCCAAAATGGCCGCGGGCGCGCCCGTCCGTCCCTGAGGCGGGCCCAGCGCTGAGGGCGCGGGACGCGGAGGCGGCCGCGGATCCCTTTCGAACAGGGCTGGATCCCGGCAGGTACCGCCGTGCGGGGCTGGGTGAGGGTGGAGGGCAGCCTCGGGTTCCCCACGCGCGGGGGGACAAAAGCCGCGGGTTGTGGGTGGGTTTTGGCAGGGTCGGTCCCTGGCTGGGGAGGGTCTGAGGGGGAAAGCAGGCTGGGGTGGGAGCAGGTGCAGGCTTGGGAGGTAAAGAAAAATGAGCTCTGTAAAGAAAATTCAGCTGATGTGTGGTCCTGACTTGATGGCTGCTGGTGGTGGAGATTTCAAGGGGTGAAAATTTCAGTTATTCCAGTGGGTTTTGCTTGCTCTCAACCGAGAGCTTGGAGGAAGCATGAGAATGTTATTTTGATGCTGGAGATCATTTCAGTGTCAAACTAGACAAATTAAAACAAAATTGAGTTTTGGTATTTAAATTGAAAGAGCAGCACAAAAACACCTCTTTCTCTGTCATCATAATATTGTTGTAGTAAAACTTTAGTATTTGCTTTAGGGTATATTTATGATTTATTTATTAAATGTAACTTTAGAAGCTGCTTTGGTGCTTTTTATTCCAGGGTCTATCTCTTGCAAGCAACAGCCTGTGAGAGACAATGAACTGATGTTGAGTGTCCAACATTAAACCAAAACTGGCATTTGCCTGCTTGAACTTCCCTAAATTATTAAGGGAGGGAGATATCAAAGTTTGTATTAATGGACTTGACTGATATGTGTGATAATTATGTTATAAGGAGGGTGTAATATTTGTTAAATACAGTGAGGTTTCTGCAGTGATCCCGATGTACTTTATAATTTGGATTTGATAACAGGCAGGAGAAGGCGTTGTAGATGCAGAAGTATTTTCCGGTATATTGAGAACAACTCACAGGAGTCATTTGAAAATTAAAATTTGATGCTTAACATCCGGAGGAGATGGAGCGTGTCTTATGCTTAAGTGCTTTTGGCTCTTTCGGTTTCAGATGCTCTCAGATGTGTTGCTAAGCGATTAAAATCAAAGTCGTGGGTGCTTTTTGTTTAACTGAAAAGACCTGGCTGAATCTGCTCCCCTGGAGCTTTGTGTCCACACTACCAGAATTGCAGGAGCATCTTCTTGTATCCAAGAGCAGCTGGATAACTAAAGGACTGAAAATCACATATTTGCCTTTTGTGAGAACTTGGATGTGCTCAGACCTGCTCTCTCTGTGTTTTTCATGGTTGTTCAAAACCTGATGAAGGTTGGCATTTTCTGGTAACCTGTTATCATGGGCAGCTAACAGCAGCTTAATGCCAGCCTCATTAAACTGGTTCTGTGGGACAGGCTGCCCAGAGAAGTGGTGGAGTCACCATCCCTGGAAGTGTTCAGAAAATGTGTAGGTGAGGTGCTTAAGGACATGGTTTAGTGGTGGACTGGGCAGTGCTGGGTTAGTGGTTGGATCTTAAAGGTCTTTCTCACCCTAAATAACTCTTGATGCTATGCTGTAAAACAGTAAAAAAGGCTGCACTGTCCTGCCCCAGCTCCCAGACCAGCCCTTAACACAACACTTTGAGCTCGCAGGAAAAGAGATTACCATTCCCCTTACTGTTTTATCTGTTTGAAGGGCTGCATGAATGAGCAACAACGCTGTTCCAGGTTCTTGTTTTTCACATTTTTCTTCTGGAATCTTTTACCCCTAAAATGAGAACTTTCTTCCAAGAGTTCAGGTTCCTGTTGTTACGCAACTCTCAACATGACAGTTTTACTTTGTGGTTGTTTTCAGGGTATATATTGCTCTTCCTGTCCAAAAAGACTGTGTTCTTACCCTGGAGTATCTTTTATAGTCTAGATTAAGACTTGGTAAATCCTGGAAGGGAAACTGGTGAAATTGTCGATGATTTAAAATTCTTTCTTTCTTTTTTTTTCTTTTTTTTCCTTTCTTTTTTTTTTTTTTCTTTTTGTTTTATTGGTCCAGTGAGATTTAATGAGTCAAACTGAGCTGTTGGGAGTTTCTGTTGAAGATGTACATGTTGGTTGAAAAACGCACAAATTCCCATCTTCACCTAAAGAGGTCACCTGGCATCCGATCCTGGTCTCTCTGTGTTGGTAAGGCCACAGCATTCATTTCAGAGCTTGCTTTAAGGGAAGAGGGTCACAATAAACTCCTGAAATGCCCCTAGTGAAATGCCTGCCTTCCAGGCATTTTCCTTTCCAGAAGAGGAATGATTGTGCTTTGAACTCTTCCTTTCTCATAGCCACTAAATGAGTCTGAAGCCTCAGCATGGCAGTTTCACTGTGAGACTTTCAGTCTCATCTGGAGAACCTCAGAAGCTCATGGATGGAATTTTAAGAGACTCCTGAAAGATCAAGAACAGAAGGTTTATGTGCCATGCAGCGATACAAATGTGAAGCTTCTGAAGGGGCTGTTAGGTTGAGAAACATCTCAATTTTTAGGAGTGGAAAACTGCAGTGTGGCCATGCTGTATGAAATGGGAAGTCCTACAGGATATTCTGAAAGTGAATATCTTTATAAACACTGCTGAATATGCAGGAAAAATCAACTTGTTAGGATTGTACTGAGAGAGCTGCTGGGGAAAATCTGGTCTATCCTGCTTTCCAGCTGAGCAGATCCCACTGCAGTAACACCATGTTGTCATTGCTTTCAGGGATGTTGTTGAGAAGATCTTTGCAGTTGCAGCAGCCTTTGGGGCATGGGGCACTCTTCAGCTGCTTTCTCCTCCCTGAGAGAAAAGAGCTGGCAGTTTCTGACACAACTTTACTGCAAAAGTTGTCTTTTTGGTCCACAGAGCACTTAAAGGGGAAAATAATCATTGTAAGGTTTGTGTGAGCACTCTAAGTTATACTGTGCTGAGAGTAGTATGTGTGGTGTAAGTATGGTGTCATGGTTAGATCGAGTCCCTCTGAGGTTCTGTTCCCAGTTATGTCACAAAATTTTCATTTCTGACCCCAGCCCCTGTGCTTTTAATGCCTTTGCAGAATGGAAGTTTGTTTTTAATACTGAGAGAAAAAAATAACTTTCATATAGTGATCTATGTTGCAATCACATTTGTCCTGTTTTTGAAAAGGGATGTTTTTCATTAGGGAATTTTAGATGTTTTTTGAGCTGCTTATTTGTCATAATTCTCTCCTCTTTTCCTCCCAGGAATAGCCTCCATAGGTTTGGCTGCTGCTTATTATAGTGCAGGTAATGGCCTATTGCTTTTTTGGGTTTCTTTCCTATTAAACTGTTTTTCATGCTGGTGACTCACCTGCAGCTTCTGTCTGGCCCTTCAAAGGCAGTGGAAGTTCCTCTCCCACTTTGTGGTGTGAATATTAAAACCAGTAATTACTGTTTCCTTTATGGCTTAGTGTGCTTTATTGCTCTATTTCTTACTCAGCCTCCTTTTCCATTTGCAAGTGTTTTTAATAATGATATTGGTGCTCTGTGGCATTTTGTACTTTAAATGTTTTATAAATGTGATTAGCTGGTCCTCACAGCTCTCCTGGGAAGACAAGGTAATGATTATTTGACACCATAATGAAATGATTACTTTTTCTGTGATGGAAGTTCTCTGATTCTCTGGAAACTGTCAAATCATCACGAGCAGAGATTACTCATCCAAGCACCTTTAGGGATGAGACAGCTTCTGCTGCTTCCTCCCCCTGCAGTACAACAGACTGCACCAAATGCCAGCTGTCTTCCCATCCATGGGATTTGTCCTGGAAGCTGCCCTGTGATTCTTGTGCTGCATCCTGTTAACATCAAATGTTAGAACTTAATGGTGTGTAGGAATGTGCTACCAATACAACCCACGTATTTTTATTTAAAGAGCAAAATGCAGTGAAAACTGCTTGAGCCACCAGCTAAATCAGCCTTGTTTTTCTTAATACATTGCAACAGAGTTTTCTGAAATCCCAGCACAGCTCTACTGTGCCTTCAGTTAAAAGCCTGAGTGAGCAAATTATTCAGGCTGTGACATGTAAACATTTCCAGGACATGAAATGCAAATGTTTGTTTGTCAAGAGGACCAACTGCTTCCTTTTATGCAGAAACATGTTTGCTTTATTGAGTTTTCATTATCCCTGTCCTTGTCCTCTGCAGCACAAATATTTGGTGTTTGACAGCAGCTTGGCAGTTTTGTGGATGCCTTTTAAGATGTCTTTGCTTGTACAGAAGAGAAAGATGTGATGTTAGAACCTTGCCAATAATACATATGCTTATAATTCTGCATGGTTTGAAGCCCAGTGTGAATGAAGACTCTGAAAAGTGTGCAGGCGTTCTGTATTTTCATCCTGGGAAAGAGCTGTAAAATAGCTTGTAGTACAACTAAAGGCAAAAATGTTCCATCAGAGAAACCTTTCCTCCTTTTGCTGCTTTTAAAGGGAGCATGTTGCTTTCAGGATTGGTTGAATACCAAAGAAGGGGGGAAAAAAGCTAAATTTGTGCATTTTTTGCATTGTTCAGACAGCTTGGCATGGAAGCTCTTCTACATGGCTGGGTGTTTCTTTGTGGCAGCCCAGAATCTGGAGCAGTGGGAGGTAAGATGCTGAACTCAGGAAATGAGGGTCTGTGAGTAGGAAGCAGTTGGCAGATGCTGATTCCAGCAGCCCCACGCACTTGCTCAGTCCAAACAGACAAGTTATGCTTTTGGTTTTGAGGAAGCCTTCTGGGTTGCTATACTGGGACTAGAATTAGGGCAATAATTCTTTGATTACACAAGCATAAAAATGTGAAGCTAAACTTATGGGCATTTTTAAGGGGAGACCTGGCCCAAAATGTTCTCTTATATAAAAGAGGTAGGATGACCAGGACTTTCAGCTTCACCACATGATTTTGAAGTTAGCCTTCAAGCTAATGACAGAGCAACCACTAAATAAGGGAGCTCTAAGCTTCCAAACTGCTCAGCTGTTTTCCTCTGGTTTAGAATTGTGTGGATATTGAGAGCACTTTGTCACCCTGCTGACAATGAATTGTGTTAGATTGAGCAACTCACCTAAAGAGAACGAGATCCTCTTTTCATTGATTAATATGAAATATCCAACTTCATTAATGTCCCATACCAATAATATCCATTTTATTGGGATATTGAGGTCTGTGTAAGCCTGGCCTATAGAGCAGAGCCCTGGAATGTCAAATTCACCTGAAGTGAAAATTATGAGTTACAAGTTACTGTTCAAATTTGATTCCAGGCAAAGCTTTTATTACATGAAGAATGTGGCAAGAGGGACAATGAACCCACTTTTAACTCTCTTCTAGAAGTCACACAAGAGATATGGCAAAGTTTCTGTTAAAACCAAGAGCAAGATTGTGATTTTCACACAGCTAGCTGTGTATTTTTCTGTTACCAAGATTATTTTCCCGTAGAACTATTTTTATTTTACTTTGAAGCATAGCTAGTGATGGAGTTTTCAAGAAAATCTTAATTCTTATTTTTCAATCTTACAGGAAGCTGTATTTGATAAGAACAAGGGAACAATCTGCCTAAAAACATTCAACCTCTACAAAAAAATACTGACCTTGTCAAAAGGAGGCAATGAACAAGGTGAGAAAGCAGCATCTGTGGTAGAAAACGTGGTGAGCAGCAGAAGAGATGGATGTGTGCCCATTTAATAGCTTCTCTGGAGTTCTGTACTCAAATTAAGTCACATCTGCTTCCAGATCTGCTTTGTTCCCAAGCAGCAGATGTAACAATCTGCCTCTCTGGGCCCAAATGCTTTTTCTCAGTGTGCTGAATGCATCTGGTTAATTATTTTAATCTAAAGTAAGTAGGCCTACACATTGCTTTCCATAATAATCTTAGCCATTCCTTTGGGATGTTAATGTGTTTACCTTGCCCTTGGCTAGCCTGCTTGGCAGCTGGGACTGGTGGAAAAACTTCAATTTTGGATCCAGAAGCTGAGATTCCTGTAATCTCATCTGCTTTAGGGAGCAGGCAAAGGTTTAGATACCATATGCAAGCAGGCATGTTACATCCTGCAGGTACAGAATATGCATTTAAAGCAGCCTGGTCAGGAGGCTTAGTTTAATGCAGGATCTGATGGCCTTTGGGCTTCTTGTTGGATTAACAGAATTTGCAGTATGGTCTGTCAGTTGGTTGAGTCATGGTGGTGAGTTGGTAGCTCTATTTATTCTTTTAGGATAAAAGAATCTTTTATTCTGTTGCAAAAGTAGACAAAAACTCCATGGCAGAGTTTTTGTTCTACTTCCTGATGTAAATAGAACCAGCTCTCAATAAGCTCAGAAGAGTGGCCAAATTCGGAATGACCTTAAGCTGAATTTGTTTTTAAAGAGTTCATTTTGGAGATGAAAGATAAAATATGTGGAGAGAAGGCTGTTTAATGATTCTGAGCTTTCCTTTAGGATACATGTTTACAATGGAGAGCTGAGGTTATCTCTTCCTCTATGATAACATCTGCTTTAGGTACCATTCATGTGAAGATTCAGAGATCAGCAGGTGTTCTGAGCAGTTAAATGTTTCAGTATTAGTTCAGTCTCAGTAAACTGAACTCCTGTTTGCCTGTTCCATACAGAAAACTAGTTAAAACTACCATTAAGCAAATGGGAAAAATAAGTAGTACTGGGTTTCTCCCCAGTGCCTGGCTGTCTGTATCTTCTCCCTTAGGGCCTGTCCCAACTACAGTGTGCTGCAGTCACACCCTGTACATGTTTCTTTTGCCTGAGCAGCTCAGCAGCTGTTTTGATACCTCAAGTTTTAGCTTTTATATTTTTCAGATGTTTTAGTGTATGGGTCTGGGCTTCATATTAGGGAATGGTGAGCTGTCTGCACAGAATAGGGAGACAAAACAATTCCTTCTCCAGCTGGGCACCAAGGACAAATGATCCAAATTTCAGGCCCAAGACCATAAACAACGTAGACTGAAGAGAGAAAAACAAGAAGGATGGGACTTGATGGGCTAAAGCTGGAATTGGATAATTAACTCCAATATGCAAATGGAGTAGAACTGATCAAAGTGAGAGCCCCAGTGAGCAGTTGTGCATTTTGGGACCATTTTGGTTCATCTTGGGTGCAGCCCTGGCTGGGCTCTGGTGCTGCCCAAGGTGGATCCATGGAGGAGATCCTTTGAATAAATCCCTGCTTTATTCTTTAGCTCTGTCCAGCCTCTGCTCTGGGTCAGCCTCCACAAGGCACCAGTTTGCTGCTGCAGGACTGCCCTGGCTGTGAGGGATCACAGGCGCAGGGTCCCCGTCGCCCTGTCCCTGTGTCAGCAGTGGCAGTGCTGAGGGTTTGCAGTCACGCTGACTCTGCCTGTTCTGCCCATCTTTGCAGTGGTGGCCGTGCTGAGCGAGATCCGCGATGTGAACGTGGAGGAGGAGGCCGTGCGCTATTTCGGGAAGGGTTACCTGGTTGTGCTGCGCTTCGTCACCGGCTTCTCACACCCGCTCACCCAGAGTGCAGTGCTGGGCTGCAGAAGGTGCAGGGGGGACTTTGTAAAATTAGAACATGCCAATCATGAGGGTCAACAATTGCCAGCTATTATTGATGCCTCAGGTTTTAGCTTGTATATTTTTCAGGTTCTGTGCTGCTTTACTGTGTACTTCTGAGCTTCATATGAGGGGATGGTGAGCTCTTTTCAAAGAGTAGGGAGACAAAACAAATTCCTTGCTGGGAGACAAAATTCCTTCTCTAGCTGGGGACCAAGGACAAATGATCCAAATCTCAGGCCCAGGAGCATAAACAGCATGCACTGAAGAGAGAAAAACAAGCAGGATGGGACTGCGTGGGCTAAAGCTGGAATTGGACAATTAACTCCAATATGCAAATGAAGCAGAACTGATCAAAGTTAGAGACCTCGTGTCCATTTTGTGACCATTTTGGTTCACCTTGGGTGCAGCCCTGGCTGGGCTCTGGTGCTGCCCAAGGTGGATCCATTGAGGAGATCCTTTGGATAAATCCCTGCTTTATTCTTTAACTCTGTCCAGCCTCTGCTCTAGGGCAGCCTTCACAAGGCATCATTATAACTAAACTCAGTTTTTAGACTTGCTGTTATGACCTTGTGTTACTCAGTTTAACTTTTTAAACCCCATAATGTTTTCATTTGCAGACATTTGGCTAACACCATCTATCAGGATCATGTTTAGATATCTAAGATTCCTTTAGTGCTGCATTTCTGCTGGAGTTGCCTTCCTGAATTATACAGTGGCAGAGGGGATTAATTCTACTTGGCAAACACTTGGTGTATTAATTAACAGAAAATTTATCTTAAGCATTGATGATAAGGAGCCTTGCAGCAGGGAGTGGGAAAGGACTGATTTATTCTGATGTTGAGGGAATGGCTTGGTGTGTGGCATGTTGTCAGCCACCCTCTATGCCCATATGACTTTCCCTCTAGGCAATTATTCTCAGAAATTAGCATGCCTGCTCTTGTCAGCACTGTGGTTCCACTAACTCTTCCATTGTTTCTTCTTTTCCACAGTGATGTGGAAGCAGTTGCCAAACTCATCACGAGTTTTCTGGAACTGGACAGAGTAGAGACCCCACAAGATTTCTCCCAGAGCAGCGAAACAGAGGCAAGTGATGCAGATGAACCACAGGTTAAATACTGATAGTCACTGTGAACTGAAGCAAGCAGAGGCTTTCACACATCTGGAAAATATTCTGATTGTTCTTCAGAAAAAGAAACCACTCACAACCTTGACCTGGGCATTTCTCAACGCGTGCATTTATAGTGAGTGGAATCTGTCATAGTTTAGAGCTAAACTGCTTCAAGACCCTGCATGTGGACACTGCTGGCTTTTGAACTTTTGTCACCTCATAAACCTGTCTAGGAATAGTTATTTATGAATGAATTGGTTTGAAATAATTGCTTTTCCATTAATGAAGATACAGATGTGAACTTCTGCTTACTGCAAACATTTGCTGCAGGTACAGTATATGAAATGTAGAAGAGGTGAATTTGTAACTCAAAACACAATGCTTTGAGGCTTCCCCTTTAATATATGCAATTAGGAGATGCAGAGTAGTGGCACTTTTATGTTCTCTACTACTGACTTGCCATTGGATATATGTGGAAATTGAAGTCTGAGTGCCTCTCTTGGAATTTTAAACATCAGGTTGATCAACTTGTAACAGTGTCTTAACTTATCTCGGACTCACCAAGGAGCCATAAATAGCAAAGGAAAAATGATCATGATGAAATGTCTTTGGGATGTTCTACCTTAATCCTGTTCTGCTTAACTTCTGGGTAGGACAGAGCAATCTTTTTCTAGACCTCAATGTTTACCATTTAAACTGTGTATTTAGAAGGGAAGCAGGGACATATGTAACTTTAGGTAGGGAAAAGACTGATGTCAAAGAAAGTGGTAGGTTAGAGTTGTTATTTCCTCACTTGAAATGATGCCCAAGTGCTAAATAATAACTTTTTTTAAGGTAGGTAGCATAGACTAAATGTCTGACTTGTTCCTGTGTTTTACTCCAGGTGTGTGGTGTCCTCTATTCTGACCAATGGTTTCACAAATAGTTAAAATATAAATTTTTTCAAGGTATTTCTAAAGTAAAAGCTACCTCTGTTAGTCAACATAATCTGTCTAGAACTCCATCATGCTTACATTGATATGTCAGTACAAGAAAATTGTAAAAAGCTGCAAGTTCCTTCAGCATGCTATAGCTGCTTGTACTGAAGTTCACTAGGTTTTATTTAGGAATCTTACGGTCTTTAGACCTGATTTAGGAAATATTTACACAGTTACAGGAGATCTGAACAGGGTACGAGGTAACTGTGTTGTCTGCTTTCACGGTTGGCCAGCAGCAAATGTCTCCTGGCAGCAGTTTCTTCAGAAATTAAAAGAACCTGTGTTCTTGTTTCCAATCACTCTACCTCTACAGAGAGAAGGCTCTGAAAAGTTTTTGGTAGAAGGCACATCCTGTTGTGTGTTCCAGTTTGGTCTGCAGCTGAGCACCTGCTCATCAAAGATTTCCCTTCCAGCTGTTCAGACCCAGGATGTGAGCAGAGGCAGAGCCTGGTGTTGTCAGTGGAAGGTACTCACACTGCAGCGGGGACGTGGCTGTTGATGTAGCTTGCCTGCAGACAGAACTAGTTCTGTTTCCTTTAAATAAGATAAAAAACTTGTAATCATGTCAGGTATCTGTACAGACCTCTGCCAGTACACGTTCCTGAAAGTCCTCTCAGTTGTTGGGGTAATCGTGGGGCTTTTGGTGCCTACCCCACACCACTGGAACTGGGAAGCTGCTGCGTATGAATGTGGAAAAAGTAGGTTGCAGGCAATAAGCTAAATTTGCCTTTATTCTCCAGCACAGCTGTAGGCTAAGCATAATCATCAAACCTGTTTAAAAAATGTTGCAGGGTGTAACACTTTATGTAGAGTTCCTCATGGATTTGGTTATGGCAATGTCTGTGCACTCCTCAGCAAGGGGATCCGCTTGCAGAACTGTGGAAAGCAGGTGCAGCTCAGGACAGGGTCCACTCTTCCCTTTTTGGATGAGTCCTCTCTCATCCTCCTTTTCTGCCACCTCTCACCATTCTGCTGAAGGCTTTCCTGGGTGGTTTTGGGCCCAGCAAAGTCAAAGGCCCAGTAAACAGAGCCTTACCTGTGCCTGCTGTGAAGTGACTTGGACTCAAAGGAATTATGTGAAAGACTCATTTTGGTTAGGAAATTAGGAACTCCTGGGAGACTCTCACAGATGTGGTCATTAACCTTTGCATCTCAGGCTGTCTGGACAGCTGTAGTTTGCATGACTTACTGATTTTAAAAGCTGCATAGCAGACCTTAGGTCAGCTCTAACACCCTGACCCCTAAACCAGCCTTCTGTCATGTCCTTCCCTGTAACTGTTTGCTGAGTGCCACTTGGCAGCTTCAGCTCATGCTTGGGCAGCTCGGTGGCACTTCCACGCATGGCTGTGCTGGGATGGGACTGGGGCTGTGGCTGCTGCAGTGAGCAAAAGCCTGAGTGCATCTGTGCAGAGGGAGAGCACTGCTTTGTGTAACCTTTGTGTAACCTTTGTGTAACTCGTACTTCAGTACTTCACAATGAAGTATCCCATGTCTGGCATCAACTGTGCAGGTCTCAAAGAAAATCCACATATTTATACCTGAGATCCGACTCTTGGGCTGTATTTATGAAGTTACACAGATGATAAAACCTCAGCTGGCTCACCTAATAAATAAAGAGTGCTAGTTCTGCCAGTGTCATAGATGGCTGAGACAAAAATATTTCTGGAAAATGTTTGGAAATTGCCTTTTTTTTTAACTTTAAAATTGCAAGTAGAATTTCAGCAAGGCCTTGTATTGTCTTTTTTTAAAAAAACGTTCATTGATAAAAAACTTTGATAACTTGTTTTGCATCGCTGTAGTATTTTGTATTGTTTTTAATTAAAATTATTAAAATATTAATGGCTGTCTAAATTATTACTGGGAACAGATCTACCGAAGGAGTTAATGAGGGGAGGAAGAATAGAAGAAGCCCAAATACCTGCTTAGAAATGACCCTGCCAACACTCTTGCAGCAGTCCAGATTTCATTTCCATATAAGCTGATGGATCCAACTTTCTATTGGTGAATATTTCCATTTTCCCTCCTTCAAATCAAACCAACATGCTACACACACAAAAAGCAGCACCCTTCTACACACACTTTGAGTATCAAAGGTTTTATTCAAGTAAAATAAATTAAGATCTTGTTTAGTTCAAGCTATGTGACAGGTATACAGAGCAAGTGGTTCCTTTTAGATAAAGATTTGCATTTTTAGTGACTGAGGCTCTCATTGAGTCACTTGAAGCTTGTCTTATGCTGTAGTTTTACTACTTGTATGTTTTGTTCCAAGAAAATTTCAACACCAGTGCTTCCAAAAAAAATTAAAGAAAGGAATAAATGAAGCACAAAAATAAATATTTTGAATATTCATGCTGGAGTAACATACTTAACTACCATACTTCTGAATTATTTCCATTTAGTGGAGAATTGGGATAATCACCAAAAATCCCCAAAATACATTTCTATACATTATGACAAGTATGACATTTAAAGCAGACTAAACCAGCATTTTTTTCCTTATATTTAGTAGCTTTAGTCATGGCTCAAATTGGGACAAAGCTGGAAAGTGCAGGTTGCACACAGCTAAACAGATGCCTCAGTGAGTGGGGTTGTGCTTTTCTGTGGGGATGGCACCAGCTGAGCTTAGGTGGTGCTCTGGCAGCCCAATGTGTTAAGGCATTTTCCCTCCAAGCCCAGGAGGAGCTCCTGATTCCCCTTGATGGAATGGTGGGACACAACTCAGAGCACAGCTGACAGGTGAAGGAGTTATGGTACAGAACATAATGACCCAAACATTTTTAAAGTATCCTAAATATTAGGGTAGAGCTTTCCCAGGTCATTGTTATGTAAGAGTCTGTTGCTACAAATCCTGAATTTGGAAGAAACTGGGTTTTCTCCTGCCTTGTAGGAGAGTGAGCTGTGACTCACTCCTGCAAACCTGACTTCCAGGCAGGTGAATTAAGGCTTAGCATGTGTTAAGACAGGAAAATTGAAGTGTTTTATGCTAATAAATTCCTTCATGCCTTCAGGTCACTTTTGTTTAACCACAGTTCATGCTTCTACTCTCAAGATGACAAACTCCAGCTCAAGGGCTAGCCAACAGTAGTCATGTTTTCCCAGGGAGTGAGTCAGACTAATTGAAATGCCCCTAATTTTGTGCTCTTATTGCTTCCTCTAAATCATCCAGCACCTGCTGCAGCTTCTGTAGGCTGGGGTGGACATTCTCCTCCATCCATTCCTCTATAGCACACCTGTGGAAAACTTGCTCCATGGCTGCTTGCAGGTCTTGCACCACAGCATTCCACTTGGAGAAGAGACTGAACAGAAGTGAGAAGGAAGAAACAATGACATTTGCAGGTGAGCTCTGCCTCAGGGGAGGGTTGGCTTACTGGCCTTTGGAAGGGAGTGCTGTCCTTAAAACCACTTTACAGGAAAAGAAGCATCTATTACAAGAGCCCGAAGGACTTGATTTTGTTCAGATGGCAAAAGCTTGATGCCTTTTCTGTTTAAGTTCCATTAATCTTGGCACTTTGCTTATGCAAAGACTTTTAAAGTATCAAAATGTGAGCTGAAAAAAAACCCACTACACACATTTTAAGTGTAACTGAAACCCACTGTGAGACTTGTTGGGAATTTCATTCTGGGTTTTATCAGAAAGAATAGATGAGGTTGGATATTCACCTTATCACAGAAAAAAAAAAAAAAAAAAAGGCAAAGAAGTATAAATGAACCTTTTAGCATGAAAAGGGCCTGGCTTTATTCCAAGCCCTGCCTGCAATCTGGCCCAGGGTGAGCTCCTGCACCAAGGCCAACCACTGCTGGAGGTGCAGCAGGGCCATACAGGAATAACAAGGGAGAGACTTTTGGAGACCAGTTTTGTACTTGTTCTCAAAGAATTCATTCAACAGAAGGCAAAGGTAAAATTAGAATCACAGAATGGTTTGTGCTGGAAGGAAACTGTGAAGATCATCTAGTTCCAACCCAAACATGTTGTACAAAAACATATTATGGATACTTTGTCTGATTCTCACTGATGTTTCTGAGATAATTATAGAAAGAGGTAAGGGCTCACAATTCTCTGTACCTGAGTGCCCAAAATATATCAGACTTTATTTTTTATTTCCCCTGTAGTGCAAAACAAGTGCTGTTACCTGACTGCATCTGGCTGGAAGTGGTGCAGTACAATAGGATGAATAATCTTCCTTTTCCTGTGGTAGGGGCTGAACCAGCCTGTGACATACCTGAAAATGGATGTTGGTGGGAGCAGTGATCAAACAGCAGCAGTGTTTGTCACTGCCAGGGAGGCTTTAGCTGAACTCCTGCACAGAGATGATGCTTAAGGAGTGAGTTTATTTCAGTCTATGGATCTTTGGAATTAACTTGTGAAACTTAATCACCTGATCATCTGCTGCAGTATAAGTTTTATTTCAAGCTCCCTTCTTTTGTAACTACACCATTCAAAATTTTCATTTTAATGTTAAATAGCAGTAAAATGTAATTAAGGAAAGATCTATATGCTTCAAAAAAGGCAGCATACAGTATTTAGGAACTTTGCTAAAAATATTTTAAATTTTGATGTAAATAATATGTTCTGCCTAGGTGTCAATGACACCTTGATATTTGAATCACTTTTTGGAGTTGTGCCCCACTTTGAGATAATATAGTTCTAACACTCCTGCAGCCAGGCAGAGAATCAACAGAAACCTCATTACCTGTTCCTTTCCAGAAGTTCATCCACTGATGACTTGAGGTGGAAACTAATTTGTGTCACAAGGGTGAGGACATTGCTCCCAGGAAAGGTCCCCAGACTTGGGCTGTCCAAAGAGGATCTGTTAGTTTCTGAACTTACCACACAAAGAGAAGCATCTGAATTCTGCAGCTGCAATGTTACCTTGTGAAAGTATCAATTTCCAGGTTAGGCATTCCCAGGAGATTTTCCACATTTTCTTTAATCTTTTCAGAATAGCCACCTGGCAGAAGACAGTGGAAATGAGTAAAGGAGTCTAAGGAACCAAAATGTTCATACAAGAGGGGTTTTTCTGGAGTATTCTGCCTTGGCTTAGAAGTTCCCCTTTGGTGAAGAATTTTTTAAAAGGTAAAATGGAAATAAAAGAAGGAAAAAACACTTGTGGGTGGGAGGAGGAGCTCAATGTCTTTCACACAGTTGTGCAAGGTGAGCACCTCCTAGCTCTGAACTTTCTATTCAGGGTGCTGAACATTTTTAGTGCCTTATTTAAAAATCAGTGGATTGTGAGGGTTTAATTTGAAAATAAGAAAAATATTGTTGGCAACTGCCTGTAAAAAAAGCAGAAACTACAGGAGGTATTTTACCAGACAGTGTCCTCCCTAGATCCATTTTAAGAAGAAACAATTATTTAAAACAACTTTTACACATGAGCATGTTCTAAATCTAAACTAAATTAGGCTCATTTGTATATCACTATTGTTTTAAGTAAGTTTGAAAAGCAATTCCTCATCCTAAATGTATTTTTTAATATAAGCATGAAGTTTTTGACCATTTGTGTGTTAGATCACAATAAATGAAGAGGATACAATGGCTGTTTTTAAATACTTAGGCCAAAAGGCTTCTCTGCTCCCATACTGCAAATTGTAATTTATTGTTCATAATTCAGGCCATGATCAATTCAGCAAACCATCTCAAAATACAACAAGCCTGTGGCTATCTTAGGGGAAGGTCACTTCACTCCTGTGCTAGGCATTATCTGAGAGAGAATGAAGTTGTCATTGTACCATTCTTTAGTGCCTGCAGACACACGGCCAGGGATGGAATTCCCACAGGGAGAAGCTCACACAAAACAGAGAAGTGATCATACCTACGTAAGAAAACATCCATTAATTACACATTTTACTGTTAGAGCAGACTAACAAGTGGGAAGTTTTAATATGTCAATCACTAAAATTCAAAGAGCTGTAGAAACATCAGTTTCTGTCTCAGAGAAGAGATCACTTATCTCTGAAATGTGAAGTATTCCTGTTTTACTAGTAAGAACAGATCAAAGCCAAATTCTCTACTCGAGGCAAATTAGGGTCAGAAATTGGACATCAGCTCTCTGGTACTCCCTAAGACCTCCTGACTGCATAAAAATGTTTTACTCCTTCATTACATTAACAAATTCTCATCTCTTATGTGATTTCATAGTTTTTGAGTTCCCATCAGCCATTCAGATAGACACACCATGCATGAACTACAGCATCTGTGAGCAGTTCAAGGTGACACAAGATCCATTCAAGCCTTCCAACCCAGTCTGCTGGTGGTGGTGTCCCCAAAGCCACTGTCCTGCTGGCTAGTGCTGTGCAGCTACCTGAATTCTGAAATCCACCCTTCACAGTCTGGGGGCAAGGCCCAGCAGTGGCAGACAGCAAGAACTGCAAGGTGGCAAAGTTCCTTCTAAATCCCCAGCTTCCCTGTACCTCTTGGGGAGCTTTAGGGTAGCAGTTTGCTTAGGTGAGAGCTTTGGAAGCACACAGAGCTGCTCCTCACCTCTGCCAGCCGGTCAGCGCGATACCTTCGAGGACATCAGCAGGGCTCCTGCTGGCCACCTGCAGCCACTCCAGCTGGTTCCTGAGGTGGTGCCCGATCAGTGTCAGAGACTGATTCACCCCCGTGGCTCCCTTGAAGGCACTTGCAAACCACACCTTGGAGAAGCCACACCTGCGGTACTTCTCTATGAGCTGCACTGCGGGGAGACACAAAGGGACACGCACAGGATGAGCTTTCTCCAGTTTCAGCCCACGCTGCAATGCTGCAGTGAGGGGAACACAGCTCCAGATCCAACAGGCTGCTGAGCCTTTTCAGGCTTGGAGCATCAGCAAGGAGGGGGCATTTGACACCCTCTCTGAGCAGCCTTTGAAGTGGCTGTCCTGCTATTTTCATATGTCAGTTACTGTACTCCACTCCCTTGTATTGCTACCATGCTAAAAGCTGTGAGATTGTAACAAGCATGCACAACATCTGACAGCTGATTGTTCTGGCAACAAAGAAATATTTGCATGAATGTTAGATGCCTGACAGGAGCCTTTAGGAGCTTCCCTCTGAATTCTATAGATGTATGGAGCACTGCAGCTTCTTTTGCAGAGCTGTTCAATACAGTTATGTGTTGCTACTGCTGTTAATGCAAGGAGAATTAATATAACAGTGCTTGTGGGAAACCTCTGAATCTCCTATCAGTGATTCCATAGCTCTGCTAAAAATGAATTAAGCAGCCTACAATGCAAGTCATTCATAGGGGAAACATAAATAGAAAAAGAAAATAAGTAACAGCAGTTATGATGTGAAATCAAATAAGGGCTGTCTTTATGCTATTAAGGCAATAAAAAACAATTCAAGAAAACCAGAATGTTTTGGTGTCCAGCTAAGGCAGGTTTTAATGACAGAATTTTGCTTTGGCTATTTTGCTTCTGCACAGCTCAGCAGAGAAGTACAAACCTTTGCCCACCACGTCGATGTCTGCTGCATAGTCCCAGATCATGGGCTGCACCAGCTGTGGGACCCCGGACTCTGAAAGGAACAGAGCTCTTCTAAATGATGGAAAACAGCTGCTTAAATGAGAATTCAGCACAGGTTACTGGTGCAGCAGCGTGTGACCACAACGATGGCTTGTCACTTACAGCTGAGGTTCCCCTGGGCAGGATTTGGCACATGCCCAGGGCCACTGTCCTCAGGCATGGTGAAACCATTAATATGGAGGAGCAGTGACGAGTTACCAGAGATCCCATTCACCCCAAGCCCACCTCATTCTTAGCTCCTTGCATCTCTCTGTGTACCAGCTGGATTCCACTGGCAGAGCCACAAGAGGAGATTTGGCTAAATTCAAATGTAACATTTACCCTTTCACTTACAGAGTGCCTGGGCTATGTTTGCACAAAATGTAGCTTTTCAAGTATAACTAAAGATACAAATTTAGCTTTAACTCCTTTTATAATTAACTGCTCAGCTAGTTTTAAACATGTGAAACTGACCCCTAGAGAAACTGCAGTAAATTGTGCAGAAATTCAGTATTTTAACTCCATCACATTGTAATTCGTTTATTCTGTTATTGTGGCAGTAGAGCACACTAGATGCTGTACTGTTCTTGTGGAAACTCCATGGTCCCACCTGCATTTTTGGGGATGATTTCCCACTATCAAAGCCTTGAATAGGTCAGTCACTATTGGATGAGCTGCACAGCTCTTCCTGGGACCATCTAAATCTGTTTACAGCAGCCATGTAAGGTGGCTCTGAAAATGCTCCAACTCCACCTGTGCTCAGACTACTCAGATTGTAGCAGTGCTTTAATATTTTTCCACAAACAAGACTTGTGATGTCAAGGTCTTGGAGCTACCCCACAATTCAGTATCAAAGTCCTCATGATGGGCACTGTGATCACGAAGATGCTCACAGGGCTGCAGCTTCTCTGTGTGAGTTTGCACCACTTGGGATCAGGTGCTGCAAAGGGAAGCAATGAACATCAGAAGTGGTGAGGCACAGAGATTTAGACTTGGACCACAGATGTTAAGAGGTTGTTGTTTTAATGTTGGTGGTTGTTTTAATGTATAAGAGAAGTAGAATTGATGGCAGCCAATGCAGGGTGAGCATTTTGTGATGGAAAACTGAAGTGTTCAGACTGGCCCAAGCTCACACAGGGAATCTATAACAGCCAAGGACTGAGTGCTTCTATTCTCTAGTCAAACCACATCTCAACTCTTGCCAGATTCGTTGTTTTCACTACATTCAGCTACCAACCAATCTGTTTTATCTTTGTAAACCTGCCTCACCCCGTGGCTGGTCACACACCTGCCAGTGTTTCCTCACTCATCCCCCTGAGCATGTCGTCCCACACGATGGGTGTCACCATGGGGTAAGACCAGGCCAAACAAGTGGCAACTGCTTTTATGTGGGATAAGCACAGCTTCTCTGGAGTGTTGTTTTGCTGCTGCAGCCACTGCTTTGACTCCTCTCCTTCACCAAGGCAGTAGACCTGAAACACCAAGCAAATCATCCTGACTTCTTGCATAGAAATAGAGAAAGTGAGGAGACAATAGTCAAATCTTTGTCCAGAAGTGACCCACTGTGTGGACACGTTCAAAAGCACCTCTCAGTGCTGAAGACACTGCAAGTGTTTCCATCAGTCTGCAGGGGACTGTGGCCATGTTTACATGCATCACTTGAGGGAATTTTCCTACAAAAACTAAAATATCTATATGCCCTATTTGCCTTTGGAAGGTTTGTCCTTGGAAGTAGCTGTCATTACACCAATTCACTTCAAATCCAGCAACCCATGGGGACCTGAGGTAGATAAAATGAGGTTCCTAGCTTGGGGAAGATCATCCAAATGTGAATCTAGAAGTAACCTGGGGCCATGTCCAAGGGTGGCCCAGCATACTTGGTCCCATGCAGAAAATGAATTAAAATTTGCTGGTTTAGAGCAGGTTTTATTTATTCTACATAAATAGTATTTTGCTTTATAACAGCTCCCTGTCTAGCCTTCCCATCAGTTTCAACACAACAGGAGACAAAATGCTAAACTAATATCAGTACAGTTAATGAATTACAGGAATCTTGTGCCATCAGGATGGTTTTAAGAAGCTGTGAGAAAGAGAAACTTGAGTCTGTCTTCTCCTTCTCAAGGACACAAACTACCAAGGTAAAAAACCCAACGCTTCCAGCCACAGAAGGGTTTACTTGAGTAACTTGCCCACAACAATGAGCTAATATCTTACACCAAACTTAAAAGATTCCTAATGAACAGCTCTAATTGATATCTTACTACAAACACTCACTTGACCTAAACCCAAATGCTGTTAGCTTTAAGAAGCTGCTCTCAATACTTTGATAGTACACTCATATCTGTGGAAATGACAGCCTGTGCTACTGGAATCATTCATTGTTAAAAAGACTTCTAACCTGGCTCGAATGGTGTTTTCTCTCCCCAAAATCCCACCCAAACATGGCCTGGGCACCACTGAAATGCAGAAACCTCAGCCCTTGCTATCATTCCTCAAAAGAAAAGAAACATTCCCAGCTTAAGGGAAGCCCCACCTCATCACATCCGATGTGAAACCACTTCAAGTCCTCGTGCAGGGCCATGACCTGGTCAATCATGGCTTTGACCAGTGCCAGTGACTCCTCCTTGTGCGGGTTCAGGGCGTTGGGCAGCGCCTTCACCTCCCGCAGATGGGCAAACTCCCTGTGCTTCAGCACAAACTGCAAAGGAAACGGGAGCTCGGGGACAGCTGCCACACCAGGGGACAGCAGCGTCCTCCTGTCCCCAGGGCTCTGAGTGCAGGTATCCTGCTAAACCCAGGGTTTGGCTTGGCTGAGCCCCAGGGACAGGCTGGGAGCACAGCTGCTGCTCCATTGCTGCTGGGGGGTCTCTGACCACGAAATTCTTCACAGGGTGGATGAAGGAAACAGGGAGGTCACCGCAGTGTGACCCTGATGTCAAATCCTGCAGCTGAAAGAGCTGGGTAACCAGAGCACTGGGACTTGGATTGGAAATGTCCAGCAGAGAATGCCAGAATGGGTCAGGCTGGAAGGTAGCACAGTGGCTCATCTGGTCCCACTTCTTTGCTCCAGCAGGGCCATCCCAGAGCACAGGGTTGTGTCCAGAGGGCTCTGGAATATCCCCAGTGAGGAATCTCCACACCCTCTCTGGACAACCTGCTCAGGGCTGGGTCACTGCACAGGGAAGAAGTTCTTCCTCACGTCCAGGTGGAACTTCCTGGCTGTGGTTTCTGCCCAGAGCTGGACACATTCCTCCAGATGTCACCAGAGCTGAGCAGAGGGGCAGGATCACTCCCTGCCCTGCTGCCAACGCTCTTCCTACTGCACCCCGAGACCCCCCAGCCTCGCTGTGCCCCCGGGCACTGCTGGCACAGCACACCCAGCTCACCTCCATGTGCCCAAAGCTCTGCACCAGCGGCACCACGTCCAGGCCCTGCGCCCGCGCCCGGCTCAGCAGCGCCCGCAGCTCCTCGGGGCTGTGGGACAGCGACCCGTCAGTGCCCGCTGGGCACGGCCCGGGGCACCTGCGGGCACCCAGAGCTGCCTGCGGGGTACCTGCCGCTACCTGTAGGCGTGGGGGGCCTGCAGCAGCTCCAGCGGCCCCGTGTATGGGAAGGTGTCCTCATATTCCAGCAGCAGCCCGGTGGCACCCAGGGCACGGAGCAGCGGCAGCACCTGAGGGAGGAAGGGAGGGGACATGGGGATGCAGCTGGGCTGTGACCAGTGCCACCATCCTGTGCCCCTGTCACCTGCAGCAGGTATATCCCTCACCTGGGCCAAACAAATCCTTCACCCATACCAGATACATCCCTTACCTGAGCCAAATAAATCCTTCACCCATACCAGATACATCCCTCACCTGAGCCAAATAAATCCTTCACCCATACCACATACATCCCTTACCTGAGCCAAATAAATCCGTCACCCATACCAGATACATCCTTTACTTGAGCCAAATAAATCCTTCACCTGAGCCAAATAAATCCTTCACCCATACCAGATACATCCTTTACTTGAGCCCAGTACATCCCTCACTTGTGCCGGGCGCATTCCTCACCTACACCAGGTTCACCCCTGACCTGCTCCAGGCACACCCCTCACCTCCCTCAGGTTCACCCCTCAGGTTCACCCCTCAGCTCCCTCCCGTTCCCCCTCACCTGCTCCAGGTACTGCACTCGCGGCGCGGCGCCCTTCAGGTCCAGGTGCACCAGGCGCCGCCACATGCTCTGCCCTCGATTGCTTTGGCCTGTCTCCCCGGCGTCCCTGCACACCCCGCCCGGCCGCGCTCCGCCGTCCCTGCCCCGCTGTCCCGGCGCTGCCCACCCGCGCCCGGCTGTCCCGTTGTGCCGTTGTCCCTCTGTCCCCCCGTCCCGGTGCCGCCGCTCCCGCTCTGCGCTGGCTCCTTCGCCTCGCTCTCGGCAGCCGAGCGCGTTCCCCGGTCAGGCAGGCCGGCAGGCCGGGGTGAGGCGCGCCGAGCGCATCGCTGGAGGCGGAGGAGGCGCGATGGCTCCGCAGCGGCGGACGCTGCCCCGCGGCCCCGACAGCGCCGGGCCGGGGCCGGGGCCGGGCCGCGGGGGCCGCCGGCTCAGCAGGTACCAGCGCGGGGCCCCGGCTGTCCCCTCCTGCCCGCTGTCCCGGGGGCGGCGGCGCCCAGGCCCGGCGGCGCTGCGGCTCCCGGGGGTGCTCCGGTGGGGAGGCGGGCGGGCAGCGCCGGGCCCGGGAGCGGGACAGAACCGCGTGTGCTTGTAACCCGTGTATTGTGCTCCGAACCGCGGTAAGGGCCGGGCACAGAATCCTGTGTGCTTGTAACCCGTGTATTGTGCTCCGAACCGGGGTAAGGGCCGGGAACAGAATCCTGTGTGCTTGTAACCCGTGTATTGTGCTCCGGGCCGGGCACAGAACCGCGTGTGTTTGTAACCCATGTGTTGTTTTCCAAACCGGGGTCCCGCGGGCCCAGGGCTCCCCGGTATCACCAGGGCGGTCCCTCCCCGCTCACCGCGCCCGTTCTGTGCTTCCTCCGCAGCGCCAGGAAGGGCAGAGTCCAGCAGGATGCCCGGGGAAGGTGGCTGAAGGCAGCCATCCTCCTCCTCCTCCTCTCTGCCGCGGCCGGCGGCGGCCTCGTGGCGTGGAACCGGCTCCGCAGCCAGGATGGGATCCCCGAGGGTGGAATGCCCGTGGATGGGGTCACCGAGGGTGGAATCCCCGCAGATGGGATCCCCGAGGGTGGAATCCCCGCAGATGGGGTCACCGAGGGTGGAATCCCCGCAGATGGGGTCACCGAGGTGCTGGCACATCGCAGCGACCACCTGCAGGACAAGTTCGTGCAGGTGCCCTGCTCGGAGGACTACGAGAGCCACCAGCGGTTCGCAGGTACCTGGGCACCAAATTTGGGCTGCAGAACTCCCGTGTTTGCAGCCAACTCCCGGGCACTGTCTCTTGTTTAAATGCTCCAAACGTTCGTGCCCCTCGGGCCAGCCCAGATGTTGATTTTGGGGGAGGTTTTTCCCTTTTGAAACTGCTTTGCAAGGGCTCTATGAAATAAACCTTCTGCTGAGTCTGTTTCTGGTTTATTTTCATACTCTGTTGATTCCTGTAGTAGGTTTGTGAGTGAGTTTCAGTACCATACAGGGTATGGAGTGGCACTGATGCAGGACACTGTGCCACCAGCGTGTGGTGACTGCACAAGTGCCAGCTTTTGACACTTGTTCTGAGATGTGTGTCTGCCAGTAGCCTGCAAAGCACTTTTCTGTCTTTGTGTCTTTCTGCTGAGTTTTAAAATCATGGGGATTTAGGGTTAAAAGGAAAATTAAGCTTAGTAGGCCCTGAAAAGAAAAAAATAAATACCCTAGGTACATGCTTTTGTCCTCTGTGGGTGAATTAATTGATTTCTTTCCAGGAGTTTTGTGTTCTGACGAATAAATAATGATTGAGTGACACTCAGTTCAGGAGCACTGGGTGTGTTGGCAGTGTCAGAAGCCACACTGAACCCATATCTCCTGGGGTTGTACATCTGTAAATGGATCTTCCTCAGAAAACTGCCAAATGTAACATTCTAAGGTCTCTGGTGGCTCAGAACTGATTTGATTTCTTCTTCTTGCCTGAAGATTGTTGTCAGCCAGACTTATAAAAACTTTCATATATTCTTCACGTGGAGCTCCTGTTGCTGACTTGTTATTCCCAGGAGCTTTTAAAATTTAATGTTAAGATTTCTTAGCAGTAAACTTCTGGAGACTTTTTAAATCTTCTATATCCAAGCTGTGTGCTTCAAGAGAGACTTTTGTGCAAAGTCTCATTTAAAAACCTGCCCTTCAGGTGGCTGAAGTGGTTTCAATGGGTTCTTTTGCTCCTCTTTGTATTGCAGGTTGCACTCCTAGGAAGTGTGGAAGAGGTGTGACAGATGCTGTAATCACAAGGGAAGAAGCTGAAAGAATTCGTAGGTAATTTTTCTTTTAGCTCGAACTTTTAAAAGCACTGACTTTAATGGCATTGTGTCAATCTGAGGGGTGGGATGGGTTAGCCTGGTTAAAACATGACATTTTTGTTACTAAAGCCATTTTCCATTTTTACAGTAGTAGGGGCAGTTCTTTCACACAGAATCTGCCTGGCTCTGAGGGGCATGAGCACTTCACAGAAAGAAAGGAAAATAAATTAAGTTTTAAAGGATTTTCACTTGGCCTCCATTTGGCCTTTAAAAGCAGAACAAAACAACGTAGACCTTATTGCAGCTGTGTCTCTGTCTGGGTAATCACCAGCAGATTAGCAGTAGTCCTCTGGGAAGGGACTGTTTTTAGGGTATTTTTGGGGTTTCTGGAAGGGAGCTGCGATCTCAGAAAAGTTCTGCAACACAAATACTTCATTTTCATGTCAGGCTGGAAGGTTCAGTTTCCAGGAAATGGGAGCTGCTGTTAACTCAGTTGGGTTGTACCTGGTGCATCAAATCCCACTCTCTGAGGAGTTACATGTTGTAAATAAGGACATTAAAGGACAAAGAAATCACACACCAGTTCTCATCTGAGATTATTGTTTTGCCTACAGAATAGCAGAGAGGGGACTGTCCTTGGGAGGATCTGATGGAGGGGTGAGCAGTGTCCTGTTATTTTCTATGTTCTTTTACTGCCAAGGCAAGATTATAAATGCATTTTTTTGGGGCTGAGGTGAGGAGGTAGAGGTTTTTTCCATCTGTTCAGACTTGGAAAATAATTTATTTGGAAAGTTATTTGTCATTAATACTTCTGCTAGCAGTGTAACTCCTGACTTCTTCAATACAGAATACATTTCCTTGTATTTAATTATTTCTAGCACCTCTCTTGAACTGATTTTATCTTAATCTGGAAACAGTTGCTATAGCAGAACTGCAAGAGTTTGTCTTCTGAAAGTAAATTACAGTGGTTCACAGCCTTCTGTAAAGATTGGCTTTGTGTAGTGACAAAAAATCCATGTAATGTCTTAAGTAGCCCTTGGAATAATATTCTTTAAATTGAAAGAATCCCACTTTACCAAGCACATGTATTTTAATTTCTTTCCCTCATCTTTGTTCTCAGAATGTTTTTGTGTGTGAACAGGAACTCTTTCTTGAGTATTTGTAAACACAGCCACTCCTTTAGGCCCCTGCTGAATTAGGGCATATATTAGCAAAAAAAGGAAGAGTTTCAATGAAAAAAATAACAATATATTGTCCTTGTGATTGCTGATGTGTAAAAAAATATAAATCAAGATGTTTAAGCAGTACTGCCCATCTCAAACAATATGTTTAAAAGATTTAACATTCTGTGTTCAGTTCTGTTGGGATCCCCTGGATGTTTTTCAGTTCTGTGGTTGCATAATTTCCCCTTTCCCTGGATTTCTCTGCCCTTTGGGACCCCCAGTGTGGCTCCTGGGTCTGTCACCTGGGTTTGCTTTCCTCTGTTTTTGGGTCCCACGTGGGATTCTTTATTACACTCCCACAAGGAGGAATGAGAATGGCAAGGTGGAACACACAGAGCTGGATCTGCAGAGCCACAGGAAGCTGTTGTCCAGCTGGGGGTCAGCAACTGGGGAAACTGAGGCACAGAAAGCTGGGAAGAGATGAGAGGGGCAGCTGAACTGGCTGCTCAAAGCACAGGGCTGGCTTAGTTGGACAGCAAGCCAGAGTGGCAGACAAATACAAATCCACAAATACAAATCCATCATCTCTGTCATTTTGGAAGCTTCATTTTGCCCCCTTTTCTTCTTTAAAGGAGTGGTAAATGAGAGGGAGGGGAAGCTGCATCTCTCTCACTGCAATGAAATAAATCTGTTAAAAATCTGATGTCTGTGGAGAGGTGTGGGCTCTGAGCCAAGCCTTCTCACATGTCTCATCATTTGTAAATGTGAGGAAGTTCTTAATCCTTAGGGAAAGGAAAGAAGAAAGTGTAATGTTGTATTGAGCACTTAACCAAAATAATGGATAAAAACAGAAAGATGTTAGAAACAAGAGCTGAGCAGTGGTTCTGGGAAACTGTGAGAGTCATAGAATGGTTTGGGTTGAGAAGGACCTTAAATCCCACCCAGTGCCACCCCTGCCATGGCAGGGACACCTCCCACTGTCCCAGGCTGCTCCAACCCCAGTGCCCAGCCTGGCCTTGGGCACTGCCAGGGATCCAGGGGCAGCCCCAGCTGCTCTGGGCACCTGTGCCAGGGCTGCCTTCATCCTTCACCTGGCTTTTCTAGGCTTTATGTTGTAGCTATTGACTTCTCAGCTATGCATAACTACAATTTTAGGGGTTTGTCTTTTATTGATTCATTTCATTATTTGGATCTTCTGAACTGTAATCATCTGGAGCTGGGGGAGTGAGAAGAAATGTGTAAGAGAAGCATGTGGAAAGTGTTAGAAAGGCAATTTAAATTAAACTGATCAATTTAAATTAAGTTTATCTTCTCAGCTGTGTTGTGCTACTTCTTATAATCTACTTAATATGGTCACAAAAATATCTTTGAGACTTCACAGGAGCAGTTTTACTTCTTTTAGCTGTGGTTTAGATTTTTGTGCAGAACCAGAAACAATTAGATGAAAGTATTTTGCTTCTGAAGCTTGAGTAAAGCCTCATACAAGAGCTGCTCTTGCATGAGTGAGATTACTTATTTCCTTAACAGTCCTCTGAAGCTTTTGGAGAACAGTGGGAAGGGCAGATCTGAAAAGCTCATGCTGTGTCCTCTCCAGTAACTTGTTACTCCATGTATTTTTCAAGGAGTAAATAAGGTTATTTGTGTAGGTTTGTTAAAAAAAGTTGTTATTATCTCTTGTAATAAGAGTTAGTGGGGTTCCCCTGCACAGGGCAATTGAGGCTGCAGAGATTTTCTAAGGGACTGTGATGAGTGTGTTCCCCTGTCACCAGTGATATTTCTGCTGGGATTTTGTTACAATGATGTGAATGCTCTGTGCTCCATCAGAACAATGGCAAATTCCAGGATGAGTGCCCAGATATTGTACATCAGAGATGTCATTACTTCAGTGCCAGTCAGGTTAATTAACTGGTGCTCCTTGATATTTCCAGTGTAAATAACAAAAAGACTTCTATTAGGCAGTTCTATTTTTAAATACTTTAGAACTGGTGCAGAACAAATGTACTTTGTGGACAGCAAGGGACATACAAAAGTGTACTTTATTCAGTTTAGAGAAACATTTTAGAATCCTCTCTTCTGGCAAATCTGAATACTAATCTCTGCAGCTTGTTGGGAACTCAGCAGAAGAGTTTGGCTTGAATTGGATGAAGAAATTAATTGAATTTTCCTATTGAAAAAACTTGTCACTACGTGGTTTTCTTTTACAGCAGCTTAGAAATTGAGGAAAAGAAAGTTTGGCTCTAGTAAGCCTTGGAATTCTAATTGTACTTCGAAACAGATTTTTTAATGTCTGTATTAAATATAAGAAGTATACAGGATCTCATAGTGAAGGAGAAGTTTTAATAACAAATGCAGGGCAAGATAAATATTAGTGCTGCTACTTGAGCACACAAATACTGGAAAATGTGTGTGGAAGGGAAATGTCTTCAAGAAGGGATCCTGGAGCAGAGTAATTTACCCTGAGCCCATGGGGGGGAGATTGGCAATTCCCTGTCACATCTGAGTCTCAGAAATAGCAACCCTCTGCTTTTATTTCATAATACCTTAATAATCTCTGCATCTCTGCAGGGATCTGAGGGAGGTTTTTAGTTGTAAAATAAATGTTATATTGTGAACCCAAAGGCTGGAAGCTACTTTTACTTGGGAGGCTGTGGAAAGTGAGAGGCAACCTGGGACAGTTATTAAAGGTCATAGTTAAATAATGCTAAAACCTTTTCATGCTCATTTTTCCTTTGTTTCCTTTTCCAGGCATCAATTTTGGACTTGCACTCTGGAGCTCTTTCCCTGGGGAAGCATTTTGTTAATCTGTACAGGTAAACTGAGGCTGTGGCTTCCTGCCTTCCCTGCCCTCTGCCTTCCCCAGTGTCTCCAGCCCCTGGGCTGGGATTAGTGATGAGAAATTTTGGAGCTTGGCTGGATCCACCACTGTGTCCATGACCAGTTAAAGAGTTTTCCTGGCATGAAAATGGGTCTTTGTTGAACTGGGCACTTGGAAAGCTGCCATTACCTTTATTTTTATGTTCTTGCACTGGTTAATCAGAGTATTTTTTCACACTTATAGTTTAGTTTATTCAGCAGTGGAAGAAATCAAATAGCCTGAACCCTTAAAAACATGTGTTTATTTCATGTTGTGGGAGGGGAATTTTTTAATGCCTGAGGAATGCCATTACCAGTTAGAGCATTTCAATCCTTTAATATTTTAACATTTGATCTTTTAGCATTACTTTTGGACATCATGCTCAAAAGCATTTTTAAGATTTTTTTTTTTTTTTTTGAGTGTTGTGTTCTCACTTTTTGATTGTGGATAAAGCATGGGTGGGGGTAAGGAGGTGTTTTCTTATTGCTCAGTATGATTCAGCAACTCCTCTTTTAGACTGTCATTTAATTTTTCAGGTACTTTGGGGACAAAATTCAAGACATCTTCACAGAAGACGATTTTGCATTATACCGGTAAAGATTTTCAATAACTGCTGAAGGAACCACAAACCAGAACTTTTTATGGTTTTGAGTTTTTTGTGGAGTGCAGACTGGGAGGGGATTGCCCTTTGCATTCATACACTGGATTTTGCAGCTCAAAATTCCAATATCTGAGAACTAATATGACTCGAGGAAGAGAAGTAAAAGGATTTTCTGGTGACTGATAAACAACATCAGCTGCTTTGAGCTGCATCAGCCACACCAGGACAGTTTTTATTGTAAATGCAGGTGAACCCAATGGGAAGAAATGATAATGTCTGATTCAATTCAGAAGGCTGAATTATTTCTTTATTGTAACTATGTTAAAATACATTAATATACTATATAAAAGGAGGATGCTAAAACTACATACTACTTTCTCTAGCTCATAATTTCTCATAATTTGAAATGTCCCTGATTTGAATATTTGAAGTATTTTTTTTTTCTTTGGCCTTTTTTTTTTTGCCTGTGTGAAGGAATATGACCTCCCTCTAGTGGTGGAAGGAATGTTAAGTAGCCAAATGAGTTTATTAGTTTTATTAAAATAGTAATTAATATAATCCTAAAATATTAATCACTTCAAGCTTATTTCTATTTAACAGCTGTTTTTAGATGTCATTGTCATTATAGATGAACTTCTTTAAAATGTTTTTACTTCCTGATCCCAATATTGCAAAAATTAGATGGTTCCTTGATTATTATTGAACTTTGGATAATTTCTGTTTCACATGAACAGAAGCATTCAATTTTTCAATAATTTTATAACTTCATGCTGTGAGATGAGACAGCTGCTATGGAATGTCAATATTCCATTGGGATTTCATGTCAGTATAGGGGATGTTTCAATCTACTGGAAAAGAAGCTAATACAAAATATATTATTAAATGCTTCTGTTCCTATTAATGGCAGTGCTTTAGCATGGACTATAGTACTTTATGGCCTTCATGAATGATTTTATGCTATTTTTGGGAGCATTTATCTTGATTACTTTGCCTTACCTACCTAGGTCACTTTAAAAATACACTCTTGAGAGAAATAACTGAATGTAATTAATGTCTCAGTATTACTGATTGCAACAATAACGAATCTGAGAAGGCATCCTGAGCCCCTCTCTCTCTTTCTTTTCCCTCTCTCTTTCTTTCCCCCCCTCTCTTTTCCCCCTCTCTTTCCCCTCCTAATACAAAATATGTGTTTATGTTTATTATTCAGGAAAACAGACAGAAATTTTCAAACCTAGGCCATAGGAGACATAGTTTCTATTCCTTGATATTCTGACAATTAAAAAAGAACCCAGAGAGGCAAACCCCATGTTTCTCAGCTGAGGAAGAAGCAGTGAGTGCCTGAAGGAGGGAGGTGTCACTGACTGAGCCCTGGCTGTTTTTTGCAGGGATGTGAGGCAGAGAATCCAGCAGAGGATTGCTCAGGTCTTTGGGATCAGCTCTTCTGCCATGTACCTGACCAAGCCAACGTTCTTCTCCAGGATGAACAGCACAGGAGCCAAGACAACACACGATGAGTACTGGCACCCACACGTGGACAAGGTGAGGAGGGGGCTGAGATGGGATGCAAACATCTCCTGTTGTTATTATTAAATCACCTTGAAATCATTTTGCATTTAAACCACTCTTCAAACAAATTTGAAAACTTCAGGGGTTGAACCTAATGGGAGATGAGTTTAGAAACACAGGCTATTGCATCCCATTCTATTTTATTTTCTCTAATTTAATTTTGCTAGAATTAGTAAACTATGAGAATGGCTACTCAGGAATCTCTTGTCAGAAACTGATTAAAATGACCTGAAATGTTCTTTCAGCCAGATCTAGGACCTGTTTCACAGTGGTCAGTTGGTCACTGTTGTTATTGATCTAAAGCTCTTCAAAAAGGCTTAATATTTGTATTTCAGCTGTATGTGAATTGAAGCTTTTTGTGTTTCAGTGGGGATATATGGTACCTGGTATCCTCTTTCAATTACTTGGCATTTTGATCCTTTTAACTGCACAGTCTTATGTCTAGGCTTATAGCTTAATACTTGGCATTTCTCAGTGGACTTAAATGATTTGGTATTGAGTTTATTTCTGAGTTTCACTGAGTTCAAGCATTCTGTGCAGAACAGCAGAATACAAACAATGGAAAAATCAAAGAAAAAACCCACAACATAAAAAAAAAAAAGCCAAACAAGCAAAAAAACACCTCCACAATACCCATGTTTCATGCCTTCAGGATTTATAAAGCCTGAAGTCATGGATTAGCCAAAATGGAACCAAATAAAATAATCCCAGCAAAATCCAAGTTATTCCTTAGGGCTTGAGTCTATAAGTGGGCAGTGTACCTTGAAGTCTATTACCTGAAACATGAAAAAATCAAACAGAAATATTTATTGCCTGAAAGTATTTCCTGGAAAAAGCCAGTCTGAGGGCAGTGTCTTTTGTTGGTCACATTGGTGTGAGTTCCTGTGTCCTTGTTCATGTGGGCAGAAGCAGCTTAAACTTAGAAAATGTGGTGATAGTGATGACACAGCTTATATTTGGAAGCAGAAGGTCCTGTAGGGTGGAATCTGCCAGGTTTTGGGTGCCTCTGGTTTGAAAGGCTGTGATGTAACCAGTGAATAGGAATGGCTCTGGAGCAGAGGTGGTGGGGATGATTTTGAGGTCCATATTTGATTTGTGTTCATCAAATATGAATGGCTGTAGGGAGCAAATTGTGCTGGTGGGGTTCACAGAAATTCCATCATGTTATGCTCAATTCCTGTGGGTTCTCTGCTTCTTTTTCTACTTCTTTCAGGGTTGGGATTGAAGGCACTTGAGAGGATAGTTCACATTCAGACTCAGGTGTTTATCATTTCTTATCTGTTACAGCCTCACAGCCATGACTTCTGCAGCCTTCCATTAGCACACAACTATCTCTTGTTACAAGGCCTTTTAAGGCTAAACTATCCAATTAAGAAATTACACCTCAGTTATTTTCACTTTTAACCCAATAACTGCTCCCTCAAAGCCTGCAGTGCAAACCTTTCTGTCCAATTACAAAACATCACCCAAACACATGAAAAATGAAGAAGGTGAAGAAGAACAACCTGACTACACCCTAAAACCTCCATCTTGCCTCGTATTTATTACTATATTCTAAAACCCCAAACTCCAGGTTTTCTACCCTGTGATGTTACACACTTCTAATCAACGCCACACTCATAATCCCAGTGCTATTAATCAATTTTGGAAGACTTCTCCACAGCCTCAGATCAAATGCAGTGTTCTCTCGTAGGTCTGTGCCTTTCAGCACAGAAAGTTTAAAATTCTCAGCATCCAGGGCTCCAACGAATTCCAAGAGATCCTTGGGAAGAAGAAAATGGGTAATTCTGCTTGTGTGAAGTGCAGTGAATTTATCGGTTCCTTACAGTTTTTCCAGATTTTTCAGAGAATCAGATTTAACTGCCACGAGGGTGGGAAAAGCAGTATATTTCAACAGCTTATGCCTATTTTCTCCACTCTTTTATTTCAGCCCCAAAAAAAGCCTATTTTAGAATTCCAGACTCTGATTTATTACTATAATGAGATTTGTGTCTGCCCAAGCCCTGCTTGCCAGTATTCTCTTTAGTCTTCTCTGCATGTGTTTTGCATTGGGAAATGAATAAGGTGGTTGTATAACCTTTCAATTAAGTGTTTCCACCTACATATCTCCTATAATGTACAAGCTATTTTGTCATTTAAATGCAAATAAGTTTACATTAAGAGAATTTGTGGAAGCTGCTTTTCTCTCCTGTCATCCTGAGAATGCCTGAACATGATGGACAGCAGGCTGAATGTTTTCCTCATTTTTATCCTTCTCTTTTGTCCATGTTTTATTTATCTTGCAGGCTGTCTGTTCAGGGAGCAGATACATCAATTGATTTGCCTTGGCTTTTTCTAACCCATCTCCAACTTCAGAAGAAAAACAAGCAGGAAAAGTGCTCTCTTAGACTTGGAATGCATAATCTAGACCTCAGTGGTGTTCTATACTGAATAATTGGGTTGTCTGATTTCTGACAGTGGTTGGAGTCAGTGATCTTGGAGATCTTCTACACAACCTAAATAATTCTGGGTCTGTGAAGAGAATTATCCCAGTTGGGGCAGTTGCCAAACACCTTTTTCAGAATCATAAATAGTCTGAGAGAGACTAAATAGGAAGAAGTTGTGCAGCTTCCCAGGTTGCCTGCAATGCAGTCAGCCTGGCTTGTATTTCTCTTCCTCCAGCAGACTTTTCTACTTTTGAAAGGAGGGAAAAAAATACATTTCTATTGATCTGAGGTAAGAAGTTCTTCCCAGAAAAGAGTAGTAGAGTTCTTATGTGGCCTCCAAAGCAAGTGTGAATGCTGGGAAGCTGAAGAAAGATCAATAAAACTTGCTAGTTTGTTGGATGCTTTTTTGTTGGATCATTATTTACGCTTTCCCCTTGGAACAGAATAAGGCACTTTAGGTATTTCTGCATAATTTAACAGTGAAGGTTGTTCCTAGAAGACTTCATGATTTTTTCCTTGCCTCCTTCCAGAAGAAAGGTAAAATGGAGCTTTAGCAAAAAGACTTCACTGTATTTTCTGTTTCAGAGTAACATTGTTGTTAAAAAGATGTGGCTTCTTGGAACATAAGAAAACCCCTCTTTTTCCTTTTTCCGGATGTTGCTGAGTCTACTGCAATTAGATTTCTCAGTCTGAATTTCCCTGAAGACTTCTAGCAGCATAATGGAGTAGTACAGATTTATTGTGTTTATCTGAGGCTTTGTTTTTATTCCTCCTAAAATTTCCTTGGTTTGTAGTTACATAGGAATGGAAACCCTGAAATCACCCAAATGACTGATTTAATCTTGTTGAATTTATAAGCATCTAAGTCAAATGAAGAGAGTGTTGTTTTAAGATGTGGAGTTTCATCGTGGATGGAGTTTGTTTGGACCTGAGGCTTCCAAATGGCAAATACCTGACTTATAATGGAGTTGCTGTTGCACACTTCACACTGTCAGAGCTGAACTTTCTCTGGAAGCAGTGTGGGACTTGGAGACTTGTGCAGTGCCCTGCCTGAGCACAGATCCTCTCATCCTTCACAGAATTGTCAGGCTCTGCCTTAAGATGGTTTTGGGTTTGTTTTCCTTGAATTTCTTCTATCAGAGCTAGTCCAGCACTTCAGTGCACATTTCCCAAAAGTGGTTCTGGTTTTTTTTAGCCTAAACATGTCCATGATCAGTTTATAGCTATTTTTGTTCCTCCTCCCAGTTCTACATCCTCCCACCTCCATGTATTCATAGGTAAGAACTATATCCCTTTTCAGCTTTTGTTTCTCTGAGCTGAAAAAGCCAAACCTTTAATTCTCCTCACCTGCAATGTGTTCTCCATGTCCCCAGCCCTCCCCTGAACCTGCAGCCCTCTCTGCCTGCTGAGTTTGTCACTGAGAGCAGCTGCTGTCTCCTCTAGCAGACTTTGCACCCTTTTCTTCCTCTCCTTTTAATAAAACACATCAAAAGATCCCATTTCTGCCCTGGGACAGCATAATCTCTGAAAATTCAGGAGGCTGATTCTCATTTCTGCTCAAAGCCATCACCTTAGCTCACCTACAGCCCCTTGCAGTTCAGAGATGTGCTCTTTGCTCTTTTATTGTCTGCTAATAGACAATGCCAATAAGCAGCACACTGGAAGTAGCTGTCAAGGCTGTTCTGGTGCTTACCTACACAGAATTAGGTAAAGGCTTACAGGAAAAAAAAGTTTTGACTTCTTTTTCTGCATGCTAGACCAATGCTGATTGCAAAGTGAATTTTGTTCTGCACTGGAAAGCAGAGAATGCTGTCCTAAATATCCTCAGTAACTGCAGACCTCTTGCATGGTCCTACAACTATTTAGCTGCATAGAGATGTGTCCCTCAAAAAACCCAGTGCAAAATGGGGCTGGCTAATACTGGCAATTAATTCTATTTATAATAATGAGCATCTACCATTAAATATTATCTCTGTTTGACTTTTGGGTAAGGAGTGTTCAAAAGAAGCACACTAACCATATGGCATAGCAGGCTGAATGGAAATACCTGCGTTTTTTCTCTTGAGTTGTTTACAAGGATCTGTAGAAATTTGATTTGTAGCTGTGTGGCTTTTAATGACAGCTTTTCTCACATAGTTTGATCTTTTGGTTCAATTATTAATCTGTCTGGTACTGGAAATCATTACCAGGGTAACAAATATATTTAACATACATGGGGGGACTTCTAGCTGAGTTTAATTTAGCGCCTGCTTTCCATAGTGCTGCATTTCTCAGGCCTGGCTGCTTTCTGAGGGTGAGTAATTAATAAGGACAGAAAGAGAAAAGCCATTTTCCCACACTTCATTCCCCAGCTTAGTCATCTCTAGAAATCAGGTGTGTTTGGTTAAGCTAAAATGGTTGGTAGTTAGTTCTTAAAAGTTTAGAATTGGTAAAACCACCTTGGAGAGGAGGGAGAGTGCCCTGAGGGAGCCAAGAGTGCTGCTCCACTGAAGAGTTGGTAAAAACAGTTCTAATGCATTAAACTTGCAAGTATGAGTTGAATGAACTTCTCCAGTGGCTGGAGACTTCCTTAAATCGATTGGAAGTTTCTATCACCAAGTCAGTGAAGTGGAAAATAGCTTTGCAAAGCTGATTTGCATGAGAAGGGCTGTGGAGTGGCTGGTTTGAGGTGCTGTACTAGCACTTGCTCATTAATTCCCATTTATTGCCTTGTATTGCTACCAGGGTTTGGGAAAATATGGGGGGAAGGGCATCACTGTAATATTTCTCTCATTTTTGTGGTTTGGCTTTTTTCCTTTGAGCCCTTATGGTCAAAATAATAACATGAGTATGAATGGAAATGTCTTCCTATTCCATCTGCTGTTATGTTCTCTCTGGTCCTGCCCTTACAGAAAAATGTGTACCACTGCTCCTGAGCCAAAATTTAACTGGCACTAATGAGTATAACTTGAAACATGACTGAAAATATTTAGAAAACTTCTAAGTTTGGAAGTAGCACCTACCTCTAACAGTCACCAGGTCAGTCAAAACACTCTGCAAATTTTGTGTATTTATACAGTGCTACTGTGCTGCACATTTCACTGCTTGACAGTGTGATGCTGAACTTCTGAGTTGAGATAAACAAAGACATTGGAGAACACAGACATTGATATCAAGTATTTTTTTTAATTGCTGGTGACATGTAGAAAGGAAGGGAAATATTTCCAGAATCAGCTAAACTCAATGTTAAATATTTAGATAGCTTCACTCTCAGTTTGTAGTATTTATTTTCTCTAACTCCACATATTGACCAAAAATAATGCTTTAAAAGGAAGGAAAAAATCACCTTGCTTTACTTAAAAGTGGGATGTTTGGTCTGTAGGCTGAGAAGAAGCAGAGACTTCAAAAATTCAGTTTGAATGGTTTTAAACAAAACCTGTATGGAAAAGAGTAGAAGATCCTCCAACAAATGTGTATTTACTTGGAAGTTCTGATTTACTTTTACCATTAATGTCCTGTGTGGTAGCTGATGAAAGAATAGCAGTGAGGTATCCAGAAACCTTATACCCAAGATTAGATCATGGGTGGGAATCATTAGTCAAGGGCTGTTCTTCTGCTTATTGACCTCCTGGTGAAATTTTATCTTGGAATAGTATAAATCCTGTCTTTTTGATACAATGCACTCTGACACTACATTGTTTTTTGCTCTTGGATGATAGAAATCAATCAATCACTTCTCTAATGATGGAAACTGTAACAATAGAACTAATAAACATGACATGCTAGTCTTGTTGTGTGTGTGTAAACACAAAAGAATAGACTAATAAAAATGGTGGTTTTGGTTTTCAAAGGCCCCTTTATTAAATGCATGAAAAAGTGAAAGTCAGAAAAACTCACCAGATCATCTGCTCAATTAGCCATGCTCTGCAGGGATGAGATCAAGAATTTGGTACATTTTGGTAATTTTGGCTTCCCCCACAGGTGACTTATGGCTCTTTTGACTACACTTCCCTGCTCTATCTCTCTGACTACTCCAAGGACTTTGGGGGCGGACGGTTCGTGTTCATGGATGCAGATTCCAACAAGACAGTGGAGCCCCGAGCAGGTACGAGCCAGCTTGGCTGCAGGTTGTGCCTTTTATTGATTTTTCTGGGCTGGCAGGGGATGTGGGACTGTGTTTTGTGTCAGCAGGAGTAATGTGGGGTGTGTTCTGATTTGAAAGCAAAACCAGTGAGAAACTCCAAGTCAGAAATACAGTTTATTAGGAAAAGGAAAAAAAAAAAAACCAACCTAAAATACATGCAATAATTGAAAAGAAAAACCATGGACAGAGTCAGAATACAACCTTGACACTGTGTTGGTCCAAATTGGAATGGCTGCAGTTCTCCTGGAGTGGCAGATGTGGTTCTGTTGGAACAGTGATCCTGCAGGAGGGTGTACTCTTCTCTGAAGGTCCAGTGGAAGAACCCAGCTGTTCCTCTGGGAATCCAGTGGAAAAGCTGAGGCTAGTGTCCCAAAAACTCAGATTATATCCAGGTAGGAATGCTTGGCTGCTCCCCCTGGGCAGAGCTTTTCACAATGGGATGCTGCAACTTTTATCAGTCCCATTGACATGAAATAGCCCATTATCAGCAGATGTCTCCCCAGAGGGAGAATTGGTTTGTGGAAAAGATAAAGAAAACTGCCCAGTTAAGAGAAGATAACTGCCACACCTCTAACAGATGGCAAATAGAACACATCTTGCCTTGCAATCTAGGACAAGGTTGTGTAGCATTCTGTGTTCAGATTGATGACATCAAAAGTGAAGATTAAAACAGGTTAAAATACAGCCACAGTTTGTAAGAGCTGGTGTTAAGCCACAAAAAGTGATTTCCTGGAAAGTTGTAGGGCTTAGAAGAGGTGGCCAGTTCTGACAGCTTAGCAGGTCACTGTGTGTGGAAAATAATAATAGTGATAATTTTAGATGCTTAGCTTTAAGACATTTACAACATAGTGTAGCTAAAGCCGATAGGCCAAGAAATGCTTATAGTAGATTATAATTAGGAATTAGTTTGCTTCTGATTGTGATGGTGTGACTTACAACATCTGTATTGTCTCACCTTTCTAATGAGAGTGAAAATAGAACACCTCTGAGTTGCCCCATCTCTGAGTCAAAAAAGAGCTTAGTCTGACAACTGTGCAGCAAGAGCAGAACTAAGTGCCACTGCAGCAAATCCAAATTAAAGCAATTTATTGCAGACTGGCCTGCAATTCCTTTGCTGCTCAAGGTGAGGCTTGATACCCTGTAATGGCTGAGGGTGGGTGTGAAGGTGATTGATTGCCACAGCTCTGCTGACCTGCTGGAGCATGATGAACCATGATTACTTGGGTATAAATCCATCCCTGCTTCCAGGAGGTCTGACAGGGATGAGCCTTCTGATGGCTGTCAGTTATAAATAAAGAAAAAACCTTTAAAGGTGGTTTGAGATTTTTTTAATATGTGGATAATTTGAACCTAGAATTACTCTGGAGCTGCCTAGAGAGGAGCTCAGCCTCAACTCATCTGTCTGGCAGGTGAGTGCTGAGCTTCCAGCAGTGTTACGTTTCATAATGCAAGATCAGCCACACTGCTGCAGGGAAAAAGCAAGAAAGGACAACTTGATATTCCTGCTATGTTCTGTCTTTTTTTTTTCCAAGACAGAAAAGATGGAAATTTGCTCATTTAAAGAGCCTCAGTAATTGTCTGCTGGCAGTTGTTAACCCAAGCAGAACTGACTTCAGACTATTGCTGCCTGCAAATTGGGATGGGTGTTCTTTGAATTCTGGATCATAGTGATCCACTCACCTGCAGCGATGCTGGTTTAGATAAACTCTGAGATAACCTGGGTTTGCTGTCAAGAACTGTATGTTTGATTATTTTGTCCCTTATGATTGGAAGTAAACCCTAAACTGAATACTTCATCTTTCGCAAAATGCTGCTGCCGGTATTTTGAAATGGAACACATTCAACTATTTTTCAGATGCAATTCAAAGATTACTACATCTTTATAGCTATAGAAATCACAGCTGAATTCTAGGAATGTGAGGAAAGCTGTCTCTTCAGTGCAGGGGCACTCAGCCTGGCTGCAGTATGCAGCATGCCCCTGACTTAATTTCCAAAAGTCTGTAACTGTGAAATTGCTTCCATTCAGCCCCATCCATTAATTTTCAGGTTTTCTGCTGCAAGGACTTTGCTCTTGATGTGGTTTTGGGAGAAGAAGGGGAAGCTGATGAATTACATAATTTTCTTTTTGGCTGTTCCCTCTGCCAGGGCTTGTATGGGCAGTGTGTGCCACAGGACTCCCCTTCTGAAACAAAATAATGCACTCAGCAATAGCACAAACATCCTTCATGGACACAAGAGAAAATTAATTACACTTTTCTAACACAACTCTGCTACCACAGTTGTCAGGGGTGCTGTGATTGTGTCACAGCCTCTGGTGCACAATCCCCACTGCCATCCTGTGAGCAAAGGAGAAAAGCTTGAGAGGTGAAGCACAGTGTGAAGGCATTTGCACTTATTTTCCCTTTTGCTGATAAAATACTTTTTGTGAAGGAATGACCCCAGGCTGTTTTCTGTTGCTGGTACAAGCTGATGTATTTTTCATGTTCATAATGTTCCTCTGCAATGTTTTTTCTCTCCTTCTGTCTTTCTGGCTTTTCTTTGTTTGTTTTGTTTTGTGCTTCTTTTGATCCTTTGTGCTTCTCTTGTAACTCCAACTCAACTTTTAAAACCACATGTGGATGAGCTTTCATGCTTCTCATTTAGGAGCTCCAGGCTTTTCTAGGGATGACTGTCATAATCACTGGTTCAGTTTTCATGCTTGACAACTAATTTTCTTTTCTGTATTGCTAATGCCACTGCAGTCCTAAAACCTGGTACTTTTCTCACACTTAGCCTGCATTTTTGGGGACCTGATTCTGTGTGCCAAAATGAGCAGGTTTCTTTCCTGTGAGCAGCAATTTGTTCAAGTGTCAGTGGAGAGCAGAAAGGCATTGTTAGTGATGCAGCAGAGCAGAAAAGCAGTGATTGGAAATACAAGAAAAAGCAATTAAACCGTTGTGGGATGTCCTGTGTTTGAAAGTGCTGCCTGGGCAAGTCTCACTGCTGCTGCAGATGCATTTGCAGCACTGCACTGGTGAGGATCAGTGTCAGCTAAGCAGCAGGGCACAGGGAGAACTGTTCTGCCAGGAGTGGAGCCTAAATTAAAATGTTTTTCACTTCCCTCAGTGTGTATCACTTGCAGATTATCTAAGGAGTCTCTAAGTCCTGACTGTCACATAGTTGACTGAACAACTCTCTAATTTATAGGATGATCTTTAACATCCCCTAGTTTGGTTGTTAGCAAACGTTAGCTTTACGAAGGAATTGTAATTTATTAACATTGAGGCTCTTGAGATTATTTTTTTTAACAGAAATGAACCAGTCAGCACCAGTTCAAGTGTACAGACCTTTGGCTAATTCATAACCAGACGTGGCATGAAGGAACACATCTTTCTTGTGCTCTGCTGGGCTGCAGAAGTGAATATGTGTCTTTTGACTTCAGTCAGGACCTCTCTCTGCCACAAGAAACTCGCTGTACCATGAGGAAGAAAATTCTTAGTGCCAAAGGATATACAGCTTTGAAAATAATTTTTTTTTTTTTGTAGCAAAGAAATAGATCTAAAGTAGTATCTGTTCCTTTTAAATATATATGGACATTTTGTTTTCAAAATTGTCATACTGGGATTTTTTTCCATCCCTTTGCACCAGGATTGGCTCTGTTTGAGAGACTGTAAGAAACAGAGCAGCATTTTTAAAATTAGGCCCTTCAAAACTAAGCCCTTTCAATATTAACTCTCCTTGCTGGTCTGAGACTTGTTTTAGTAATCTGCAAGACATGAGGAATAAGAATAAATGGCAAACATTAAGGCTTTCCTTTTTCAGTCACAAAATTGGAACTTCTGCTGCTAAACTTGTCAGTGTATAAAGTTTCATATTTTAAAATTTCATATTTAGAATTTCATTATTTTGCAGGGTCTTGTGTGAATTTGGGGTCTGGCAATATTAGGCAGGTCCCAGACTTCCCTTGATCATAAAGTGTAGATGAAACTGCTGTTGGAATAAAATCCCAGCACTGGTTCTGTGTTCTTTGTTTGCATGTGCATTTCTTGGTTTGAAGGTCAGCTTTGCTGCACTTATTTTCAGCTTAGAAGGTGATTTGTTCTTCATACAAGTAATTTTTTATACAAAGGCAGTAGGAAAGGTCACAATTACTTCTGTGTGTTTCTGGAAGAAACTAATCTGTGGGGCAAAATGAATTCTGTACATTGGAGAGTGCAATGTGACTCTTTAATCTCAAACTCAGAGTATTCTCACTTGGTGTTTCTGGAAGTGCAAAATATTTGATTTGAAGCTATATTTGGGAATTTCCCCCCATACAGACAGTCTCATCTTTCTCTTTATTCAATCCACATCCTCCAGATTCAGTCTAGATCATGATAATCTGCCAATTCCAGCTTTAGTTTTGCTCCAATCATTAAAAAACTGGAGCACATCTTGATGTTAAATCAGTATCAGCTGAAAGCTGAGAATAATTTCTAAAAAATCCACAGAAGTGGCTGTCAGTCCTGGTGAGGAACAAATGGAGGCAGCAATAGCAGCTGCAGTAAGCACCAGTCATGCAGAGGACAGCAGTTCTTGCTGATTTGCAAAACTCATCACAAATTGTGCCAGGGACTGGTGAGGTGATTGCAAAGAGTGGCAGGAAAAGGAGGATCTGTTGCAGTTGTGTCAAAAAGGCAGAAAATCATTATTTCTCAGTAGAACTTGCTTTTGGTTTTGTTACCTGTGGACAAATAATTTCTTCCAGTCAGATTTTGTATTCTGATGGTGTTTGATGCCAGGTTAATGATGGCATTAAATGAAACACTATTTAAACTGGCAATGGAGCAGTAAGTAGCTGGGAGTGCAGGTGTTATTTGTGGTGTTTTTGTGAGGGACTTGTGATAAATCCACTGCCTCGTGGAGGGGTGGCAGTGGTCACCTCACATTTCCTGCAGCACTGGGAGGATGGAGGAGTGCTGGGGGAAGACTTGTCCTGTGATAGTGCTGCACAGAGAATTGTGAAGCATTGCCATATTCAGAATTGGCCTCTGAGGCTTTCCCCTACCGTGAAAATTTGTTTATAAATGACCACATGTCCTGTTTGTGCCTTTATCTAATGCATCTGCAGCCTGATATTTCATAAATTTGATTTGATACTGGTCAAGAAAATATGCAGGAAAGCTGAAGGCAGAAAGCAGTGGAAAAATCAGCTTCAAGGAGTTACTAATGAAATTCAGGTAATGTAACAGATGAAATAAAACAAAATACCAAAGTAACTGCAGGTTCAGCTCTGTGGTTCAGCAGGGAGAGTTGATTTCTTGGTTCCTAAGCTGTGTGTGAATGTCACAGGCCACAGATGCTCTGATGAAGCCTCTTTAAGGGCAGTTTTTGGAATAACTGAGCAACAGGGTTTACCCTTGTGTTTATTCTTCAGTGATTTACTAAATGTAAGGATGAATTCCTTCTTATCAGAAGTCTAAATCCCAGAACTTGGATATCCAAGTGATTTGACCAGAGCTCTGCTGGACATGCCATGTTTGGCAAGGTCAGGAAAAGTCAGACAGATGATGCTGAGGTTGTTTAATTAAAGTTGCAACACTTTGTTCTTAGTGAGAACTTTTTGTAGGAGTCAAATTCCGAGCCCTGGTGCAGCTGCTGTGGCAGGGGGAACAGAACAGACCTGGCAGCACTGGCTGCAGAACTGGAAAATATCCCTGCCCTTCTCTTGGCTCCAGGGAGGAGAGACGGAGCCAAAAGGCCTTGGGGACACTCATACTTGATATGGAGAGAGCAAATATTCAGTTTTCACTTCTAAATACTCCCCAGGGTTGGGACACCTTCAGACAGAGTGGAAGGTGCTGTGATTTTGGGCAACCAACTGTGCTGGTAGGACAGAAGCAGGCAAGAATTATAAAAATCCAGCAGTTGATATGTAAAACTGTTCATGTACTTTTAGCAGGAAATAAGTTCATTAATTTTCTTTAAAAACTGTAATCTGGAAGATTTCCAGGCCATTCTAAATGTAAAGTAGAAGCAACTACTTTTTTTTGAGGGTATTAATACTACAAATTACAAACTGGCTGTGGGAGACTTCAGTATATGAAGCAGTGATTTTATTGATAACAGCAAGAAATTTCTGTCTACTAACTAAATATGGGATAAGTTTGTAACTAGGATTTGATACCCATTGCAGATAGTTTTTTGTTTGGGGTTTTATTTTTAGGCCCTGAGGCTTAAAAATAAACTTTTATTTTAAATATAATTTAATTTTATTTATTTAAAATAAATTTACTTTTAAATTTATAAATTTTTAAAAGTTATTAATTTGTTTTATTTATTTTTTATTTAAAAAATATTTAATTAATTTTTTAAAAATGTAATTTAATTGTATTCTTCTGTGCTTGACTTAAATGTAGCAAAACAGTTCAGAGAAGCTTGTGCCCTCTCTTCTGGGGTGCTTTCTTTACCTCAGATCAGGGCACTTGCAGACATTGTCAATCCAAGTTCCTTTTATGGGATTTGCTTCAGCACTTAAGTTCTCCCAATTCAACATTTTTAAATAAGTAATTGAATTAGTTAACTAAGTTTTATTGTGTGCTTGCAGAAAACATTATTATCAGCCTATTTACCTAATGATATGATGGGGTTTCTTGGACACTCTACATGAGAATGGATTGGTGATTAATCCTAAGCAGATGCCGAGGATGAGAAGACAACTGTTGTGCATTTTCCCTGGCAGTGCTCCTGTCTGGCTGTCACTCAGCAGCTGAGATGCAGCTTTTCCTTCTTTCCTGAGGAACATTTAGAGCTGATAAATGCTAGGCAGAGAGTGGAAGCTGTCAGTGCATGACATGAAAGATGCTGAATAGATCTGTGGTGCCAAATAAATTGTTCCTGCTTCCCTTTAACCAGACAGAGGAGTTGATTCACAGAGTTCCCAGAATGACCAGGTTGGAAGAGACATTCAGGATCATCGAGTCCAACCCAGCCCCAACATCTCAACTCAGCCCTGGCACCCAGTGCCACATCCAGTCTGGTTTAAACACACCCAGGGATGGGGACTCCACCACCTCCCCGGGCAGCCATTCCAGAACTTTATCACCTTTCTGTAAAAAATTTTATCCTAATATCCAACCTGTATTTCCCTTGGTGCAGCTCGAGGCTGTGTCCTCTGGTTCTGTCATTTCCTGGAGAAAGAGCCCAACCCCACCTGAGCACAGCCACCTTTCAGGAGCTGCAGAGAGTGTTGAGGTCACCCCTTATCTTCTGTCACCCAAATTCTTCCCAAGTGAGAAAAAAGCATCTTTGAAAACTGACTATAGCCTTGTTCAGTCACCCATAGACCCCAGTTGATGATATGGGGCAGGTTGATGCCATATATATGAAGATATATTTATTAAAGAAAGAACTTAATAGACATTCAGTACAGCCAAAAAAAATCAATTTAACTGGCTTAACACACTGAACCTTGTCTAGCTGTGAATTACTACTACTTCTAGTCAGAGATCAAACAAAACAGCTTGAAAGTCAGTTTAAGGCAAAGCTTTGGGTGAGCAGGTGAGGGACCAATAATAATGTACTTTTGATGAAGTTGAAATACAGTTTAAAAGGGAAAAAGAAAATCGTGACACAGGGGTTTTGTATGGAATCCTTGAGGGCAGCACTGTTCATTGCAACACTCACAGGACAGGAGCATGTTGCCTTCATTTAGCCTTTCATCCAGAAAAGCAGGGCAGTGAGAAAAGATTGATAAATAATTCTTAACTTGCTGCACTTGTTGTGAACATGTGGAAATGTGTTATGGAGATTTGTTTACCAAAGGGTGGTTTCTTAATTAGCCAGTGGTGATGGGGTTTTGATTGGAGGACCAATCAAGTCTACTTGTGACTGTCTATAAAAGCAATGAATTTCTTAATAAAGCTAGAGATTGATCAGCCTGGTGTGAATCAGTGCTAAATACTACCTGGCTCTGGGCTCTGCTGCTATGATAGGATTCCATCTCCAGCTTTGTGGCACGAGGGATTATGTATGTTTTAAAGAGTGAAAAGCTGTCAGAGGGCAGTGGGAGCTTGGGGCAGTTTGTTTGTGCTCCCCTGTGGGGGCAGAGCTGCAGCTGGTGCCAAACTCCACCGATGGGTGAAACTTTTGTCTTTGCAGGCCGGGTGTCGTTCTTCACCTCGGGCTCGGAGAACCTGCACCGGGTGGAGCGGGTGCGGTGGGGCACTCGCTTCGCCATCACCATCTCCTTCACCTGCGACCCGCAGCACCGCATCGCCGACCCGCAGCTCTCCTGGGGGGACAGGAGCCCTGCAGGAGGAGAGGAGCCGGGCAGAAAGCTGCCCTTGTAACCTGCCATGCAGCTGGAACTGCCCAGCTGTGAGCACACAGGTCACAGCTCTGTTCTCACAGCCCTTCTGCCATAAACATTGCCAGTGGCGGCTTAAGGACCAATCCTAAGTTTGATGCGTTCTGAAAATGGTTTGTCTTCATGTGCCAAAGAGACTGCAAAGAAGAGAGGATGGGCTCCACAAAGAAGAGAATGGGTTCCACAGAGAAGGGAGGATGGGCTCCACAAAGAAGAGAAGATGGACTCCACAAAGAAGAGAGGATGGGCTCCATAAAGAAATGAGAATGGGCTCCACAAACAAGAGAGGATGGACTCCATAAAGAGAGGATGGACTCCACAAAGAAGAGAAAGTGGGCTCTTCATTTTTCAATTTTTTTCTAAAAGTTCTTAAGTTTGAAAGATACAAACGATCTTTTGGGCCAGGCCTTGATCTGCCTCCCCAGGCTGCTGTTACCTGTTCCATTCTTTAGTCTCTTCAGTTGCTAATGCGGTGTAGAAAGTCTGACCTAAGTGAATTGAGCCCAAGTTAATTGAGACCTGAGTTAATTGAATGTTACTCTCTAGAACACACCTTCTCTTGATAGGGATGGATTCTCTAAATGTGGGATCAGTGAGGAATACACCTGGGATTTCAACTTTTTAAGAAAATTCAATTACTACTGATTAAACTTTCAGGAAGTCTCTCAATAGCTATTTTTTCACTTCTCTTTTCCAGTTTAGTATGAAGACATTTTTCTGTTAATGAGGACCCTGAATGTTAAATTGCAGGGACTTCCAAGAGGAGCTGTGTGCAAACACATGCATAATCTTGCCAAATACTTCTGGGTTTTTACTGCAGTCAAAGATTTCTGTGGGTCAGGTGGTTGATAAATAAATGGTAGAAAAACCTAATTTTTTTTTTCTTAATCAAATTCTGAAATAACCGTGTTGATGTGGTTTATTACCTGGATGTATAATTTCTGTAAAATACTGAAAATCTGGGAATGTGCTTTGATTTTTTTATTTTATTTTATACATACAGTTTGGCCCTTACAATGTACCCTTTTATGGCAACAAAAAGTACTGGGGGGAATTACACTGAAGATCAATATAAAGAGGACTTGTGAGGGCTCTCATTGGGCACACCAGCAAGATTAGTCCTCTGTAATTTCATTTCTTTGAACTCTAGGTGGACTTCTTGGCATTTCTCATGGATAATTTTCATTATAGAAGCAGTTGTAGAATCGTTATGGCTTTTACTTCCTTGTAAGTCAACTGAAGGTTTAGGAAGATACATTTATGTGGAGATTTTCCTGAATATGTATCATCCACCTGAAATATTCTGCACTCCATCTCAATTTCAAGTCCAGAAATGTTTACAGTTTTAATTTGGATTTACAGCAGAAATTCAGCCTTCATTTCTTATAACAGCTGGGTGCTTTAGAAGGTTGTAGCATCTAATCATGTGCACATTAAAATAAATTAGCTGGAAAGGCATTGATGATGACTGTGCTGCCAAGGAAATCTGGTTTTGTTTCTTCAGTTGCATTTCTCAGTATTGAATTGCTCCTTCACAGCTTTTCTTCCCCCAGTAAAGGAAGATGTAATGTAAGAGTTCCTGGTGTTCCTTCTCCATCCACATATCCTTCCACAGTGTTTGCAGGGGATTTGGTTCTCTAACCTGCCCTTTGGAGAACTCTGTGCAATATTTTTGTCTTGTCTAAATTCTAGGGGTAAAACCAGGAAATGGTGCTGGAGGTCAGAGCTATATGAGTGGGGAGGAATAAATACAACCAATCTACCTTCTCCAAGCGAAAACAAATATAAAAATAAATAAAATAAAAATAAACTTAAATTTTAAACATTCTAAAAATAAAACAAAATCCCAACTCTGTTGTGAGTCTTTTGTGGAAATCCAAGCAAACATTCCAGGAGCAGCAGAAGAGTTATTTCCTTTCTGAACCACAGGTGGTTTTGGCACGCATGGATTGTCTCAGCCTGGGAAAATCTTTATTAATAGGCATTAAATTAATTTTTTATTAATCTTTATTACTAGGATCCTTTATTAGAAGGATTTCTAACTCAATTTTTGAGAATTTTTATTCCTCAGCATTTGTTTTTTTCCCAAATACTCCTATTTTTCTTCTAGCAGAGGCATTGTCCATGTTTAGCTCAATTATTTCAGAAATATTTCTTTCCATCTTGCCTGTTTTCCTGTAAAGCTGAAATAATTACAAGGTAGGGATCAGTGTTTCCTATTTTTGAGCATTCTTATCTTTCCTGGTACCTCCTGGATAACAAGTAGGGAATTTTGAAACAGATACCAGAGAGAGTGAGTCAGACTTGGGATCACAACAAGAGCTGCCTTGCCTGAATAATTCTTCCTCTGGAATCAATAAAGCAGCCTGGAAGTACCACCTGCTTTATTTTGTAGTATTTACATGCACCTAATTAAAAATATCTTGGTTTACTGCTGAATAATCCTGAGGCTGTCCAAGGAACCCATAGTGGGTGAATGCACGAGCTGCCAGGTCAGACTGATTGTTCAGAGTGAGCTGCACTGGAACCTCCCCCTTTTTTGAAGGAAATATTCTATTTATGGGGCTAAGCTGAGATTTATGGAGTGTTCATGTTCTGTGTTTCTGGGAATTTCTTGTAATAGTCCTCCAGTGTCCAAAAAAGCTCATTTTAGACATGGATACCCTTCCTATTCTTTTGTTAACAAGCCACAGCACCCCCTCCACCCCCCAAAAAAGCAGCAGCTGAGTTCCTGAGCCATGATTTTTCTATTCAGACACCTTGAGGTTTGTCTCTTGCTCCTCAGTTTATACAATACTTATAAGCTGTTTGTGTAGATGCCTGAACACTTTGCTGCTGACTCCACAGGAAAAAAAAAAAAAAATCTTACTGTTTTCTTTTGAGAAGGTCTCTGGGTGGATTCCTACCTTGGAGGTGACCTCCTCAGCATATTAACTTATTAGCCAGACCATTAAATCTTGTGGGAATAAACAAAGGCAGCTCCTGATGGAGTCATTCTGCATGTCTTGGCTCAGAGTGGTGGTTCCTTCCATTCCCTCTAGCAGGGAATTGTGTTTATTTCTGATTTATGTTCCTAAAGAGCAGACATGTTCTGGGAGTCCTCCCTGCATAATGGGGCTTTAATTTGGTTCACTGAATAATGTTATGAAAACAAGGCCACCTTTTACCAGGTGATTCAAAACTTAAAAGGCTGCTGTGAAATGAAACAAACTCTGAGCCCATTTAGTCCCCACACTTCTCAACACAAAAGAAATGAGAGAAATGATCCTGGATTATTTCTGCTTTGCTAAGGGCCAAAAATGTGTGTTTACTTGGTTTCTTTTTAATAAAGGAAAATAGGAATTAATTTAAGAGTCATTCCTTTCCACAGGGATGAATATGATCAAAATAAACTTTGACTAGCAGGGAAAAAGCAATATTACAGAAGTCAGCCAAGCAGAGGGGGAAGTCAAATTTAAGATGGTTTTAGGCAGAGAGCAGCTAGGGGAGATTTCTCCCACACTGACGTGTCTGTGTCACTTTGAAGTGACATTTTCTCCTCCTCCTCACTCTGCTTGATTGTTTCATTAGATCAGACAACTGGAAACTGAGAGCTTTCAGGCAGCAAAGCTCTTCCTGTTCAAACCTTGTATAAAATTCTGAATAGGACCTCTTAATAACCATTTGTTTTAACTATTTATCCTGTCCATTCTCTGTTTGAATTAAAAATCAACAATGAATATGCTAAAATAAGTTAAGTGATGCTGTATCCACCTGTTTTTAAAATGATGAATTATGCTTTCTCCTGCATTTATCTTGTGTATCAAATGGGCATTTTTTAAGTGATGGTGTCCTCCACACATAGCTTGTGTCTGTTGCACCTTTTCTGGAACTGGACAGAATTTAGACTCGTAAATAAGAAATAATCCAAGAAAAAAATTAAAACTGAATTAATACATGTACAGAAAGTTTCCCTTTGGGATAAAAAAGGAGGGGGTTTGAAATATTTGTGGGTTTTGGAGCTGTAAGAAAAAAAAAAACAGAAAAAAAAGGAAAAAATAATTAATTTATTAATCCTTTAGTGGGACTCTAGGGAATCTGCAGCTGCTCCTCAGTACCTGGAAATCCAGACCTCTCCCTGCCCATTTTCCCTTTCTAGGCACATTTTGATGGAGATCTTGATCCCTTCAGGCCATGAGCAGGAAAAATCTCCTTTCTCTGCCTCAGCAGCAGCACAAGACTGTGGATTTTTTGGGAAGGCTGTGCCCACCTGGAGCAGTGTCCAGCTGCCAGCAACTTGAGACTTCTTGACTTTGTTTTTTAATGCCTTTAGCACCTCCAGATGAGCATGAGTCAGTGAATTCCAGCGTGCTGCAAAAATGATCACCCTCAATGCAAGTTAAACACGTTTTGACTCTCTTTCTAATTTTTTACTTAAGGCTTTGGAGCAGACTGCTAAAACTTGTCCTCTTCCTAATCATTCTCCTTAAATGAAATACTTCAGCCATAAAGCATGCACAAAAGGGCAGTAATCAAAAACCTTTCTGTAGCTGAGTTGTACAGGAAGATATTTCTGAGATGTCTAAATTAAGGATTCTGTCCTCTGGTCAGGCCAGATTTGTGATTTGCAGGATCTGGGCAAGGCAGAAGTGAAGATGTTTGGTGGCCCAGCTCCCCTGGAGTGGGAGGTGTAATGATTCTGTAATTTTGGTGCACTGATAAAGGTTTCTGTGTTTAATTTACAAACACGACAGGGTCATTAAGAACTGCCAGGGTCTCTTGTTAGACCATATGACAGAACAAAAACCCAGAAATCTCTGAGCCTTAATGCCTTGTTTATAATGAACGAAACTGAGTGAATGAGTCAGTGCATCAATTAACTTGAAAAGCAGATATCACTGTCTGCCTGTCCCCTGACAGGGTTAGTGACCCCTGGTTTTATTTCCTTCTGGCTGTGGATGGATGTGGGGCTGGGAGAAAGTTCAGTCCCTGCTTGTTCTCAACATTCACAGTTCCTCCCACGAGCTGCTGAGGGCTTGTTTGTACTGCAGAGGAGACAAAGGATATTCTAAAGCTTCTAAATTAATAAGAACTCAGTTCTCTAAGAGCAACACCTGCTTGCTGAATGCATTCTGAGTAGTCCAGCTGCACCAGACTGTATCACTGAGGAGACACGGATTTTCCAGTTGTGTCCATGGCCCTGGAAGGGGAGGACAGCACATCTGAACCAGCTTTAGTCATGGAGCATGCCAGAGGTTCATGTTTGCATCAGTGTGACAAGTAAAATCTGTCTCTAAATTAACAGCCTTGAAACGGAAAAATGATTAATTTGTTGGGAAGAACACAGGTGTGGAAGGAATGCTTGGCTTAATGAGTTTATCTAATCTCAGTCTCTTTCATAAGTACGAGCCTGACTGTAAATACTGAAGTTCTTTATAGAGATAATAGCCAAGAATGCTTCCTAACCACAGGAGGATTTACCACTCCTAAACAGCTAAAAAGCTGAAACTAATCAGAAATATGAAAACTCCATAAAACTGAACATTTTGCACCATGGGTGTGTTGGAGCTGGGAGCTCCCTCTGGGCACGGGCTGGAGCCAATCCTTGGCAAGAATATGTGCACCAAACCCTCTGTATTTCTGCAAAATACCTTTCAGCATGCTGTTGTGATCCTTGAGGTTTTCCAAGGCTTTCTCCTCCCTGTGGACTGTGCTGTGCACATCTGGGAGCAGGGGAAGGTTCCTGCCAGGGGGGTGCCAGCCCTGCAGACCCCGCTGTGTACCCAGGGAGCTCCCAGGCTGTCAGCCCTGTCCCCTCCTGGAGACAGCTCCTCTAAACACTGGGGATGGAGTTCATCCTCAGGGCCAGGGATCCATCAATTTGTCCAGTTTATGTTGGGGATGTGCAGTAAAACTGGTGCTTACAAGAATTCTGACTGCACCCACCCCAGATGAGGAGACCACCCCAGGAGGAGGCTGGGGTTTGGTGGGGGCTGGAGGGTTTGCTCTGGCTCTCAGTCCCAAAGGCAGGGAGCAGCTGGGATGGGCAGGACACATCTGGACACTCCAAGGAGGTGGTGATGGATGGAAAGTCCCCATGGGGGGGTTGGGAGAGGATTTTTGGGTTCCAGGTGATGGGAAGGGTGGGAGCTCCTGCTGCTGAAGAGGTGCTGGGAAGGAGCAAATGCTAAATCTGGAGGGCATGGAGTGCTGAATGGCAAAGTGTGACATCCCAAATGACAGGGATTGAAATCACATGGGTGCACAGGATGGGGAAAGGGAAAAGGAGCTGCTGTTCCAGGGACTGGAGCAGAGTTTGAAATGGCTGTTTAGAGATATTTCAGCTCATATTGAGGGTTGAGATCAGCCTGCAGCCCTTCTCCAGCCACCCTCTGCTGCCAGGACTCTGGAGCTGTTGCCTTTTTGTACCTTCTTGGGTAAGGAAAGGAGGCTGGTGGGAAAGCCATGCCTCGGTGTGCCATGGAGAGATGCTTTGGCAGGGACACTGAGCAGGAAGAAAGGATCCTGGCAGCATTGCTGCCATCCTCTTCCCAGCACAGCACCTCCAAAATCCAGCAGAAAACCAAGGGGGACAGAGGCAGTGTGTGGCTGCCTCCATCCACAGAAACCTGGGAGATGCCCAGTGGGAAGTCACTTGCCAGCTGCTTTATTGAGCTGCTGTTTAATTGTTTTGCTAAAGCAGCTGCCTCTGCCTTATTAATTTAGAAGAAAATACTGACTGAAAAGACTAATTCTAGCTCATACTTTAGCTTGATTCTTTTTCCTTTGGGACAATGAGGGAATATCCCATAACACTTCTCTACCTGGAATCACAGGATCTCTTGGAGATCTGCCTTAAGCCTTGTCCTCTTGT